AGGGTATGAACCACTCGACAATGACATTTTTATTGAATTTGATCGCCGCAAGGTCAGTGGAATGACAGGATCTGAAAAACATTATTATGGCGTCATGAATACCTGGGTGACCTTGAAATAGTCTGACATATTTGGCTCATCTTAGGAGACGTGCAACCTAATAACTAGAAGGGTCTAGGTGGTCTAGGAGGTTAAAAGGGCAGGACTGTGAACTGCACCGAATGATCTTCAATATGGCTATGTAAGGTCAAAACCCCATGCAAATGTGAAACACTCCCTTTAATCATTGCGCTAGGCGGTTCGTTCCAAAAACAAAGCAATGATCTGGGTCATTTTAGGTCAGCGACCTAATTTGACAGCCAAAAAGTCCACGGAAAATGTCTATTACGGTCCCTATTATCAAACAATTTGTAATGAACATTACAGATTACCCAAAATACAAGCTATTCCAATAAAAAGGTACCTTGGTTTTGACATCGGTGTGACTTTTATGCCTGCCCTTAAGTCAAAAGAATTTGTAGCAACGCTAAATTAAATTGTTCTTTTGCCTAAGTAATTATCTCAGAGATGTATGGGCTCGTCTAACACCCCGTTGTTGCATCAGATTGTACAATTCCCAAGGAACTGTCTTCGCTGACAGCCACGGGGTGACTTTGACCTGCTGCAGGTCAGCGACCTTACAAGATGAATCGCATGGTTTATACCAAAAAACATCTGTTTATTTTTCTGCAGTTATGCAAAGCTTGGTGCGACTACATCGCGCAGTTGAACAAGTGTGGTCAAATTGATCCCCCACCCGGGCGCGTGTAATGCCATCGATACGTGATACACTAGGATCGGATGGGTCGAGGACATATACATATACGACAAATACGTCGCTCACGTCGCTCACGTCAGCACAAATGCTGACAGTGTTTAGTTTTCCTACCCATGTTAGGTGATGCGTCTTGTCCACGTGGCTGGGGCGACCAGCCCCTTCTTAGAATTAAACTCAACGTGTTCGGCTCTTCTCACTGCCACTCTAGCACTCACTCGTAGTACTTAAATCTTCCGAGAGGTGGCCGTGGTGGTGCTGGAGGTACTTGCTGAACCGAATATCATGTGCTTTTCTGTTTTGACACTTTCTCATGGTGTTCTTGCATGTTCGTCTGTGAGCTCAGAGTGTTTACCTGTATTCTTGTGTTCGGTTATGGCGCTTTTCTTTGTGTCCCACCTTCGGATCATGTTTCAAAAAAAACATTGCTGAAACCTTTGGACCTAGCGTCTATTAATAGCTGCCACTGATGCCAGTGTGCCACACCATGAAGGTCTACAAAGAATGCAACTCTTTATGTCCTTTTCGAGCCTGAACTGCGCTCAGTGCATTGTAGCAGTAGTACTTTCTTGGTAGCCCCAAAGTGCACCCCGAGTCCGCGACAACTACAGCTGTCGCAAACGCCGTCGTCATGACAGCCACCGTCGTCATGACTACAGCAGAACCTGCTGAGGGCCGTTGTCAGCTATTATGGTTTATATATATCACATTTGAGCTGTTTTGACTCGCACATTGCGGACCTGCGGGCGTGGCGTCCCCACGGGTATAGATGACGTCATTACAAATGGGTGTTTGATTGGCACAGCGGACGGCAAGGGCCATTCACCGAGAAGCGCGTTGGTTGAAGTTTGAGCCAGTGCATCACTGTGGATCTCACTGTGGATCTGTGGATAATACTCCGTTTCCCAAAGCCAAAGTGCGCTTCGAAAAGAGTCACTGGTAGCATCCTTAGGGGAGAATTTAGAGTCGTGGTACAACGTTTTGTTGAATTCGCGTGATAATTGCCTCATGTTTGCATATATTTTCTCTAAGCAGTGTTTCGAGGTTTCGTAGCATTTGCTCCATAAGGGTTTTGACGCATTAGTGTGCTGCAAACACTACAAAACACGCGTTGGAAAAGAAATGGTAATGCAATGCACTAGTTTCCTAGTGGTGAGCAGGAATTCCAATGAGGCTTCTTCCGCAGGAGCTGGAAAAGTAATGATAATGCAATGCGCTAGTTTCATAGTGGTGAGCAGGAAGTCTAATGAGGCCTCTTCCGCAGGAGTAGTAAGTGCGAGTAGTAAGTAGTAAGTAAGCAGCTTCCGCGGCTACTTAAAATAAAAATGATGAGCATTTCGAGAGAGAGAGAGAGAGAGAGAGAGAGAGAGAGAGAGAGAGAGAGAGAGAGAGAGAGAGAGAGAGAGAGGAGAGAGAGAGAGAGAGAGAGAGAGAGAGAGAGAGAGAGAGAGAGAGAGAGAGAGAGAGAGAGAGAGAGAGAGAGAGAGAGAGAGAGAGAGAGAGAGAGAGAGAGAGAGAGAGAGAGAGAGAGAGAGAGAGAGAGAGAGAGAGAGAGAGAGAGAGAGAGAGAGAGAGAGAGAGAGAGAGAGAGAGAGAGAGAGAGAGAGAGAGAGAGAGAGAGAGAGAGAGAGAGAGAGAGAGAGAGAGAGAGAGAGAGAGAGAGAGAGAGAGAGAGAGAGAGAGAGAGAGAGAGAGAGAGAGAGAGAGAGAGAGAGAGAGAGAGAGAGAGAGAGAGAGAGAGAGAGAGAGAGAGAGAGAAGAGAGAGAGAGAGAGAGAGAGAGAGAGAGAGAGAGAGAGAGAGAGAGAGAGAGAGAGAGAGAGAGAGAGAGAGAGAGAGAGAGAGAGAGAGAGAGAGAGAGAGAGAGAGAGAGAGAGAGAGAGAGAGAGAGAGAGAGAGAGAGAGAGAGAGAGAGAGAGAGAGAGACCTGAAGGAGGCATGCCTCTGGATCGTTATACTATCGATCATGGCTGCCATATCAGGGCCAAGAATCACGTGGACCGTTAAACCTGCTGATAATCAGACCAAACTATCCGTAAACAACGCTCGGCTGCTCATCTGCGGCACTGCCTGGCCCGGAACCGAGGACGGAGAGAGGGCCAAATTGGTCGGGCCCAATTTGGAACAGACGATCTATTGTCGGTCAGAACTGTGTTCATTTCCACCCAAACTGCCGGTAATCGGTGATTTGGTAGCCCAACTTTGATGACCTGGGTTACACTGGACACTGCCTGTGCACCACGCAGGACCAGAACTTCGTTGTGCAACTAGCACTTTGCTATCTTATAGCGCATGGCGTCGCACCGCATCATAAATGCAAATCTATCAAGGCCCAGGACTTGTATCCACTGCCCAGACGTGTTTTTGATGTACAACACGATGCCATTACGCTGGACACGTTTACCAGGCGCAGGAACAAAGGGGGCAGGCATCCATCACGTTCACTCCGGTCTCAACCGACAACTGCATCAGTTGAGCGGCCTGTCCATACCGGTTGGCGGAAAGCGATTCCTGGAGCGCTGATTCAGTGCCCCGTGTGAGACTCAACGCTCAAGGGCCAAGCTCCGTATCATGCATCATTATGACTGGTGATGTCCGAGTTGTCTTAAAAAACAAATCTCGTGTCGCCTTTAGCACTTTCTAGCGACTTTCTGGAATATCCAGGCTTACCACTGAGAGCCGAAACAGGTATCAGGACCAAGCCTCTTCCAAACAGACGCAAGCACCATCCCATAATAAGAGCGGTGTGAAGAACCACCATTCATTCCGGACCTGCTCCCAACGCAAATATTGCGTATTTTTTCCGATGCTACTGATTGCGGTTTTTTGTGCGTTCCAGCTACGAAGGTCATTTCACCCCCGGCCTTTGTTCATTCTATACGATCAGCTCTTTGTTAAGAGTGTATCCAAATGGAGGAATAGGCTACCTGTTACGATTACGTGGAGATTAAGCAGAAGAACATATCACTTCAAGTCCAGCAGCAGATAGAAACTTGAAAACGTTCGTCACCATCGACCTGCGGCACGTCTCCTATTGAGGAAGTCAAAGTTATAAACCGCCAGAAGAAGTGGAATCTCTCGCCGTCCAGGGACATGCTGCCCACCAGAGCATGGTTAACAGTCCGTGGTTTATCGCAACGACCACATCACGGGCCTCCCCTGGCTCGTAAGGTATCATTGCCGATGTTGTTGATTTGACTTTCCTATAAATATTTTATGGGGATCGATCGAAATAGCGTGAAGGGCATATGAATTGATTCAAGATTGATTTCTTTTAATGAGTAGGGGATAATGAGTAGATGGCAGGGAATAATTATGTCCATTCGAGCACATTACAATTAATATGCAAACACTTAATGTGCGACAAAACTATGCCGAATCGTTTCACACAGGGAGACGAATCAGACCAAATCATTGAACTGGTACGTGAAGTGATATAGAATGCATTCAAAACGGACAAAGCAATGATTTGAATCAGATTTGAAGCGCTTAACAAAAATCGTGAGTCAATGGAGAATCAATTGTCAAAGCTTTGAATCGAACACAAGTCTGCTTGGGACATGGCCGTGGCCGACCGGCCGGTGCGTAGCGCCTTAATCCCAATATTTTGGATATTTATTCTTATAGTGCTATTTCATGTTTCAAATCGAGCAATGGATCATTTTTTTGTCCCAACTAATGGTTCGGAAGGTGAGCTATTTTTGATGGGTCACACTCCAAACTCTATTTTTGCCAGACATATCTAGTTGAAATCATGCAAGAGGTAGAAAACCGAGCATTCTACATTCACATGGAAAAAGGAAACAATTCTCTTTATCAAATTTTGATTCAAAAGCTTGAACCTCGTAGCTCATAGCGTTGTAATCCAACATAATATGCTTTAGCATCGCATGAGGATGAAATGCGTTTGAAGTGCGTTTGTTGTCATCGTGGAAAAGTGGGATTGGTTAATATTCGATCGAAGGCAAATGCGATATAACCTCATTATGACTTCTTTGTAATCTACTTGTAAGAAGTCTATCACACATCCGCCGATGGAATATCACAACCGTGCGTATGCGCCTTGCTATTTTGAGGAAAAGGCGTTCGCAGGTTTACTGGGTGCTCTGGACCGAACAGTAACTTCCTCTTAAAATTGGTCCCGCATGCGAGGGGGGTCACCTCTCTGACTTTCGTCTTTCCGACAGGCGTGGGCGGGTGCGTCGCGATGGCGCGCGTCGACAGCGGCCACGAGACGCTGGCCGACGACGACTCGCCGACGCCGACGTACGACAGCGACGGCGGCGACCTCAGCACGAGCCTGCCCGAGCAGCACGGCGGCGACCTCAACACGACGCTGTCTGAGCAGCACATCTATGAGGAAGTGGCGCACAGGGCGGCGCGCGCGCCGCCCAAGCTGCCCGCCATCAGCGGTGTCCTGCAGAATGCGGTGAGAGCAGGTGGACCGGGCGAGACGACGGGCGGGAGGGTGGGGTGAGCTGGGGAGGAGGGATGATTAGTTTTAAGGGGCGCTTTGGCTGCCGGGGCCACTTTGCCGGGGAGAGGAGTGGGGGGTCTGTCCCAGATCGGACGATAGATCATGGGGGCTGGTGGCTCGGAGAGACTGGGTAGCCTGAGGAAAGGGAGTGAGGGGTGGACTGAGGAAGAGCACGGGGTATGTGAGCATACTGGGCCGAACCAGAGGACGTGCTGTGCGGGGGCGGGGCGAGGAGGGAAGAGGCCATGAAAAGGACGACGCAAGAGGCGTGCAAAATATGACATGGATGTCGTGTATGGATCTCACCTATGTGAAAGAGAAGGAAATGTGACGAGAGATCTGCACTTGTCCCTGCTTTGCCAGCCGGGCAATGGCTACAGAGGTATTGGGATTTGGCGAGCCTTGGTCGGGTTCATCTGTAGACAGTAACGGACACGTGAAACGGAGGGTCTTCGGCTGGTCACCCCATAGCCCGACTCTGTTCTGTGGTAGAATTTGAAGAAATGCATAACCACATTTCACTCCTCACATTAGATGAAATCGTTGCGCGTTGAGCTCGCAGCAGACTTAGTCGGCGGGCAATCGGCTTATCAAGCTACCTCGACTGAAGGCACTCTTCGTTTTCGATGGTGGAAGGTCCGGTTATGAACAACGCCGATCAGAACGCAGCGTTCCAAAACGGGCCGAGCAATCCCAGATAGCGTCAGTTAATTTATCATCCACACAATCCCAGCACCCGGGGGCGAACAGGCAATCAGCAAAACAAGCAGACGAACCGGCGCCCACGGACGACGTGCGCGGCTGTCTCCGAGTGCGGCCCAGCCGCCGCGCTCAGGCGGAGCGGCTGCGTACGCTGCGTACGTGGCTGTCTCTGAGAGCGGCCCGGCCGCCGCGCTCAGGCGGAGCGACTGCGTGCGCTGCGTACGTGGCTGTCTCCGAGTGCGGCCCGGCCGCCGCGCTCAGGCGGAGCGGCTGCGTACGCCGCGTGCGCTGCGTACGTGGCTGTCTCCGAATGCGGCCCGGCCGGCGCGCTCAGGCGGAACGGCGGCGTGGATACACGCCGACAGCCTGATCGGGATGGCCGCAGCGGCTAATTTGGGAAGCGTTTCTCTGTCAGTCTCATGGGCCGGCGCCGTTAATATGCGCCGCGCCGGGCCGCAGTTAGGACTGCAGTCAGGGCCGGCCCGCTCCCATTAGCGGCCGCGTCGACTGCCGATCTGCCACCTGGACGCGGTGAGGGCGGCCGTCCCACCAGTAGGCGCCGGTCAGCGGCGCGCGGCAACCCCAACCAGAGGGCTCTCCCTGGCTCAGATGGTGACCCGCTCGACTTTAATCGCTTCCTTCACTGCCATAGGCTTTCCGCACGGAAGGGAAGCAGATCATGGCTCCCTGACTTCCCCAAATGTTATTGCTGTGCTGCGTTGACTGCAAAGTTTGAAATTATGTTGGAAATGTTTTTGCGACAAACAATGAGATGAAACATTGAATTTTTCCGCATTGGTGTCACACTAGGCAGAATGCATGCATGATCGCTCGTAGTCAAGTTTGCTGTGCAAATGTTAGCGTGGCAAGAGCTTCAACATTAAAAAATAACCATACAGTTCAGGTTCTGTCGAAACCCTACACTCGCAAGGCGTGCAGCATGGACGCGAGGTAAAGAGTGCGCGTGGGCACGCCTGCGTGACTTGTGAGAGGACAGGAAATCAAAACCGTCATGTGGAGAATCAGTTTTGGTGCGTGTGAGACCCTAGCGGACAAGTGTGATACTAAAAGTACAGGAAGACACCGCAGAGTGCGGCGGTGAAACAGCGCCAGCTGGTGGTGCTGTGGGCGGAGGTGAGCCATTTAATCATAATGTTTTTGTGAAGAAAATGGTTGAGTGCCAGGCGCCGCCATTCAGCCGGGATGGCTGATTTGCCGTCACTGCTGCACGCCGTGCCACCTTTCAGCCAGGGATGGCTGATCTGCCGTCGCTTGCTGATCTGCCGTCCCTGCTGCACGCCAGCTGACGGGAGCACCCTGTGATGAACCGCGACCGGTGCGCGGAGCGGCGGACGACGAAAATGGCTCTGATCGCGGCGATGTATGGCACAACAGTTAAGCCGGCTGCGCCCATCAGTCTTGATCCAACGTTATCGAGTGTAACTAATTACATAACTTCATGCGATGACTTCGTCTAGTATCGTCGTCCATTTCAAAACCAGTTCAATGAAGTCATGCGAACCTTTTTTTGTCCCTCGTTCACGTTTTGACTTCTGCCGTGTCTCGGGGCTGACGCAAGCTGGCGTACGTAAGCATATCGCTTTTCACATAACAGATTTGGTAATATGCACAGTTCATGACGTTTCCTAGTAAGGCTGCCTGACGAAATTGAGACCAGCGATAGGGGTCACGGGGATCCTACGGATACCTTTACCTCACACGTAGGGGGGGGGGGGTCACAGGGTCGGACTCGTCCCCATGACGGGCCTGCGGCAGCCCTCTGCCGTCAGTCGCGTGTCACACGTCGTCACACGCCGTCTGCCGGTTGCGCGGCAATCACTGTCATCCAGGGTTATAGCGCTGCAGTATCACTCATTGGTCAGAAAGAGGTAGGAGGTGGCGGACAAGAGGGGTCGGATTTAATATGGAGAGGATGTCAGCTGTAGGTTATTTTCAAGCGGATCAAAGACTGCCGCGTTCGTTCGCTTTTCCTCGATTGGAGGCACTTTGCATGCGAACTGAGGAATGCGGCCGGCCGACGGCACAGAATGGAGAAGGCGGCTTCAAAAGTGGAGGGGCAGAGGTCGACGTTGCAACAGCCTGCAGGGCGCCGCCATCTGCCGGCGACGGGCGCGGCGCCTGTGCGGCCGGCCGGCGCACCCTCGGCCGTCTCCGGGAGCGGACCGTTGAACCCGCGCTGCCGAGCCGGGGCCGGGGCCGGGCCGGCGCCGGCGGCCGGCGCGGCTCTCTCGCCACCTGACACGCGCGCCCCGCCCTCAGCAAGGTCAGGTGGGACAGCGCCGTCCGGCGCGCCGCCGCCGCCAGAGCGCGCCCGGCTCGCCAGGGCTGAGCGCGGCGCGGCGGGCAGGCGATCGGCCGGCGTGTCCGCCGGTGTGTGCGCAGTGGTGTGGGGGCGGTGTCCGACGGCTGGAGAGGTGGCGGGAGGTGCTGCCGACGCCGGGCCGCCCGGCCGGCACCGCCCTACCGGCCGGGCGTCACGCGCTCCGCCCACAGCCACGCTGCGGGGAGCTTGGGTGACCTATGAAGAGGTCCGTGTCGTGCTTCAACCTGCGCGGGAAGCATGATGACGACGAGGAGGTATGTCTTGCATGGATTGTGGCTCTCCAGCTGTCCTGGGTACAGGCTGTTAAAGGCTGGACGATCCAAAACGAATAAATGAAGCGATGGCTCTGTATAACTTTCGACTCATTCTTTTGATCATAAGTGTAATCTATAAAATCGCAGGTTGCATTAGACAGTAAGTTGCCGAACTGAACCAGTGATCCAGAACGGGATTAGTGGCGTCGAACTGGACAGGGGACGATTCCGAGCCAGTGGCGCTGCGGAACGCGAATGCGGACGATGGATGCCGCACCTCCAGCGGAAGCTGTTTTTCGGCCGGAACATGCGCCGTTGATGGCCGGATCGTGCCTGACGCTCTGCTTCGGGTGTCTGCACGTACGCGGGCACGTGCTGTACGCCTGCGGCACGTCCGCAGACGAGGCCTTCCGGCACGAAGCCGCCGGCTCAGCCAGCGCAGCACGGCACCCGTCCGCTCGGGTGGCCTGCCCGCCGGGACGCTGGTGGGAGGGCAGCACGGCACTCGTCCGCTCGGGTGGCCTGCCCGCCGGGACGCTGGTGGGAGGGTGGCCATCCGCTCGGGTAGCCTGCCTGCCGGGACGCTGGTGGGAGGGCACACTCGTCCGCTCGGGTAGCCTGCCCACCGGGGCGCTGGTGGGAGGGCAGCACGGCACTCGTCCGCTCGGGTTGCCTGCCCACCGGGACGCTGGTGGGTGGGCAGCGGGGCAGGCGTGAGCGCCGCCATGGCAGCGCGAGCGTATTGCGGTGGGCGGACCGGGCAGCAGGTGCTCAGTGGCCGTGTAGGTGCGCCAACGCAGCGGCCGTGTAGATGCGCCAACGACTGATGTCAAGAGCGGGCTTCATTTGACTTACCATTTTCGTGGGTTCTGCTGGTAACGTTCCATTTTTCTCAGCTGCCACTACATCCGGTATCACCGCCGTACCTCCTGTGATGTGATCATGCCACGGCCGCCTGTCTTGAGTCTGCCTCACCGCCGTCCTGATTAGTGGCTGGCAGCCCCACCCGAGAACCTGCTCAGCACAGCTTCAGATAACCCGTGCGGGGCAAGCCTCGGTGTCGAAGGTGACGGAGGATAACAGCTCAGCTTCATTCGCTACCTCTTTCACCCATTCCATAGCTCTGGAAGGGTGAAAAATGGACGAAAGAGCTCTACCGCAACCAAAGCAAACCTGCCGATTACACTGGCGATAACTGCTGAGCTGCATTCATCGCTCCGTGGCTCGCGTGCTGGCTGAGCCTTGATTTGATGCCCAATAACAGAGCTTTTCTTAAGCCGTCCGCGAGCATCTGAATGGACAGCCTGCTTTGAATGGCTACCGGAGAACGAGGGAAGTTACATCGTGCTGCTATGTCGACGCGGCTGACACCGCTGCTCTCGCGATGTGCCCACAGACTGGGCGTGAGGCTCGTGATGGATCGGCTTCAGGACCCCGGTCACAGGATGGCTGGGCGTTGTAATCATTTCCTGTCAACCGTAATGACTTTTCGTTGTATGGGGACCGGTGCGCGGTGCACGCAATCACGTGACTGTGACCTGACCGGATGGCTCTAGCGTACAGTCATCGGCGGCCCAGTTACAACAGTCCCGTGTCAGTGTTGGAGTCGAGTTACGACAGTCCCGCGCCAACGTCGGAGTCGCGTTACAACAGTCCCGCGCCAACGTCGGAGTCGCGTTACAACGGTCCCGCACCAACGTTGGGCGCATCAGTGTTGGAGTCGAGTTACAATAGTTCCTGGAGTTGAGTTGTTGTTACAATAGTTCCTGGAGTTGGAGTTACAACAGTCCCGCACTAGCGTTGGAGTCAAGCTGCAATAGTCCCGCACCAATGGCAGGAGACGGACGACAGCTTGGGTGCGCTGGCTGATCCGTTTGCGGTTCTCTTTAGTTCAGTGATGGGTAGTAATAGTTAGCGTTAGTAATAGTTAGTCATGGTTGTTCAGTTATGGTCGTCTTTAGTAACAGTGTGCTGCAGCAAGTCCGAAACATTGACTCGGAAGTATCCAGATGCGCAGCCAGAGCCTTAGCAAGGGGGGGGGGGGCACAGGGCTGACAAAGGGCCCCCTAATAATAAAACGCCCCACGAAAATCGCCAGATGTGTCCCATTTGTTGCTGAGGACATGTTTTTCTCCATATGTTTACAGACATGTACACACACACACACACACACACACATATATATATATATATATATATATATATATATATATATATATAAATTCATCCTACTATGACTGGAATAGAAAACAGACGCTACCGCGTGATCCAATCTGCCTGATGTTTTTAGTCCATAAACTAAAAGAGCATGCGTTAAACGACCGCATGAAATAAATCGCCGGCCCTCTTATGTTCCAATAGTCCAGTGGACTTTGCTTAAACCGGTAGAGCTCAGAAACTTTGTCAGAATTTTTTCTGGGTGGTACAGAGATAGCAGGGACCCCGCGAATGTAACTTGAAGATGAAAATGAATCGGCAATTTATAGTAGCATGGCCAAGCTATGTATGTCTGGAAACCTTCAACATTCATTCGGAATTCGATTTGTGATGCAAATTATGTGACGTAGTTTTGAGCGTGCGCGTTCGCATATCTTAGCAGCAAAACCTCGAACCAAGCGTTGTAGTATCCGTAGGCCGCGCGGCGTCGGCTTCGCAACTGACATTAGGCCGTGGCCAAAATGTGGATGAAAATGATGTTGCATTTGAAAATAAGTACCTTTAAAGCCCTAGGACATGAAATCTCACATTTGGAGAGATTTCGGATGCACGTATCACCTGTGCGATTTCTAGTTTGATGGTAGTAACGGATTGGCATTTACAGCACCGCGAAGTGGTGCTGGAATCTGGTGGTGGAAGTGGAGGAGTAAGGATATCATCTCTATATTTTGTGTTGCTGTAACTGTTGGTCTGTCCAAAGCACAACCTCAAAGTTGTTAAAAAATATTCCGCCCAGTCTCATCTTTGAACTGTGCGAAATAATTTTGAAAGGCATTCAGAACCTCATTTTATGGTAGTCGTTGTTGCGCGCACGACGCACACGCGCGGCGTTACTTGCAGTGGCCAACGCCGTTCGATTCTACGGAAACTCATGTCATTGCTGTCCTTGCTCCCCGAGATGCGGGCGCGTCATTTAGGCTTCACGACGCACTCAGCTGCTGAGACTATATGGCGTTGCCTGCCTCTCACCCGGACAGGAGAGGCCGGGCACCGCGGGAATGGAATTGGCTCCATTGCCTTCATGCGAGCACTTATCATAAAGTCTCTTGCTTTCTTTCACTACAGAGCGCTCTGACCAACTTAGGGGCCCTCCGTCATTCGGGTTCCGATCCCCGTCCCTATTGATCGAATCTCCCCCTGATCGATTCGAGGCCGCTTGTTGACACAGAATACCGCGCCAGGCACTGTGGGCCCCTGAATGATGCAGGAGCCCCGACCAATGTGAATCACAGGCCCAGTCTTGACCCTGCCTGGGAAATTCCCCCCCCCCCCCCCCACCCCCAAGAACTGAGACCAACACGGAGCCGACTTTTCGTTGTTGGTGATCGCCGGCCGAAATAGAGGAACGCTCTGCCTCAGGGGCTGCTATCGGTGCAAGAGGCCATCTTGCTAACATTTGTGGTCACGACCCCATGAGCAGGGGTCCCCAATGTGACCTACAGGTAGCCCTTCGGACCGTCCAGGTCTTCCAGTCAGGCGCTTAATCTTTGGTATCGAGAGACTCTTGGACCCCTCTTCGAGCCCTTCAAACGCCGCTCCAACTCGGGACCACTTGCCGTCCACAGGACCCCTATTAGCACTATGGCCCCTGACCGACACAGGAGCCCCACATTGTGCCAGGGACCCCGAACAGCGGGTCCCGGTCTCGTTCCTGCTTGGGGAAATGGATCTCAAGAGCTCAGATGAGCATGGAATCGACTGCTTGGTGTTCGTGAGACACCCGCATTGTCTCAGGGGTTCCTCAAACGGTGCAAGAGGACCTCTGACTGATATGTCAAGACACGGCCCGACGGACCGCGATTCTTTATGTGGCCTTCAGCCAGTCCTTCGGGCCCTCATACCCTCCAACCGGGCTTTTGGTCGACTTGGGACCTCTTGCCAACACAGAATCCCCGTTTAGGTACTGCGGGCCCCTGATAGACGCAGTGACCGCGGCCAACGTAAATCGCTGGCCTGACTTTGTCGCCTGCTTGGGTGGTGGGTCCTCAGGCCCATACCGACACGCAGCCGACTATTCAGTACTGGTGGCGCATGATCTACATGTAGGCCATGTCGACTCCATGAGTCCCCGATCGGCGTAAGGGCCATCTGGCTGTTATTTTGAGGGCCCGTCTCCGCAGGCCGGGGACCCGGAATAAGACTCCGACCAGCCCTTCGTGCCCTTAAACCCTCCAATCGGGCCCCTGGTCGTCGGACCCACTGGGTTCTCTAGGCTCTTTGGGCCTCTTCGAACACTTTCTGGCCGACTCGGGGCCCCTTGCCAACATATGGCCCCCGTTAGGCGCTGTCGGGCGCTGACAGACGCTGCGGCACCGACAAATGGAAATTGCTGGCTCCGGCTTTGTTTTTGCCTGGGAAATGAGCCCTTAAGCCCATGCCGCCCCAAAGCCGACTTTTTTGCGTTTCTGGTGGTGTCTCATGGACATATTTGCCCTTATCGACTCAGGGACCCCTGATCAGCGCGCAGGGTCTTCTGGCTTGTATTGGAATGCCCGGCTCTGAGAGCCGGGTCCCTGAATGCGACCTGCGGCCGGCCCTTCGGGCTCCTCGGGCCCACAAATCGGGTTTTTAATCGTAGGTTCCGAGCGGCCCTTCAGGCCCTCGGAACATACGATTAAGACTGGAACCGACCTGGTCAGCCCCACACGCTGACCTCGGGCTCTGCCGCAGGGTCCCGTGATCCGGCCGGTGGCATACCGGCCCACGCCGACGCACACGCCCTCGGCTACACCCACCCGCTTCGGCAGCGTGGAGCGCATCAACAGGACGTCCCACTACGGCAGTAAGTGGATGGACAGGGTGGACATGGCGTCACTGGTGTCAGCTGGCGCCGGCCTGTAGATGACTTGACGGCCTGTGGCTCAGAGGAAGCTGTTTGTCGTCCGTAGGAGGTCTTCAGTGTACAGCCGGGTTCATCAGAGTGCAGCGTGTGTGGTAAAGTGTTTTATGCCGTCGGAACGCATTTATGTGTTCAGAAAGTCGTCGTCCCTAACATTACCGGTACTGCAAACAGCAATACAGAGCGTGTAGAGTTATGGGTGCGAGCGAGCACCTGCCACGATCCTCTGACCAACATGATGTACAGCCGTGGTTGTTAGGGCCCGTGGAGCTTAGCATCTAGCGTGCACGATATCAAAGCATGTGTGGGCCTTGAATCGCCGACAAAGTTGGCCCAGGGGCTGGCTTAATGGCGGCAAATTAGTCCAAAGCGGAGCGGGACGTGACTGGGTGGCCCCGGTCACGTGTCTTCATCCTCCACACTTGATCGCAGTAGTAGCTTGGTGTCGCTGCAGCCTCGCCAAGCGCCAGGTGATCTCCATGGGTTTTCCGCCGACCCACGCCAAGTTGACTCTCTCTTAATCACAATGAACAAACTTTCTGTGATGGCCGCTGGCCCGACCTCCCTGGCGCCCGCTGACCTGACCCCGGCCGCCTACCCAGGCGCACTGGAGCTGAAGGCGGCAGGACCGGCCGGCGTCGACCGCCGCGTCAACTCCAACATGGCGCGCGCCCGTTACGAGAGCTTGGACAGCCTGCGCGCCGCCGCCGGGCCGCCTGTACTCGGCCGACGCGCTGCTGGACGAGTACCGGGCCCGCGGCAGCAGCCGGCCGGCCGAGCCGCGCCGCGAGTCGTTCAGCGGCCACTCCGAGCCGCGCCGCGAGTCGTTCAGCGGCCACTCCGGGTCGCGACCGCCGCCGCTGGCGCACTGCCTGGCGCGCCACGACTCGCTGCAGAGCCTGGCGGCCGGCGGTGCGGCGGCCGGCGCGCGCATCGGCGGCAGCGTCTCCAACCTGGCGCAGCTGGGGCGTCGCGAGGCGGCGTTCCAGCGGGCCAGCGTGTCGCGTGCCGGCTCGGTCAGCAGCGAGCGGCTGGCGCGCGCGGCGGCCGGCGCGCACGGCGCCGCCGGCGTCGTCTCCTCCACGCCCAGCCCGTCCGACTCGGGCGTGGCTGGGCTCGAGGCCATCCTCCGAGAGCGCGACTCCGAGATTAATTTCCTGCGGGAGACCATGGAGCAGAATGAGCAGGTACGCCGCTGCCGCCCCATGTCGACGGCGCATTCGTGTTGCAACCATGCCGCGATGTGGTGTTTTGGACTTGTGTATAATTCTGTCCACTCATTATGACGCGTGTCGTGCACTGTGTTGGATCGCTTTCAAATAGCATGAAAATGGTAAGGGCTTTACTCGTCACCTCATGTTTTCCCCGGTACTCCACGGCAAATATAGCATAAGCGGACACAACCACTGTGCCTTTTATTTATATGTGTAACGTACAGTAGCCCCGACTTTGGTACAACGATGCAATGGAGCTCACCTAACTTCAAGCTGGCGTCTTCAAGTCTATCGCTCACTTAAGAACCGTGCGGACAACGAATGCATGTTGTATTACTCCCTTCACAGCTGTTCTTGCTTTGTCAGAACTTGTGAGAAGTTGTTCTGGCTTCTGGGGGTTGGATGCCGGGTTGTGTCGATTGCCCATGCCAGTAGTAACGACTGTCAGCCGATCTGGTTAGCTATAATTCAGGCCCTTATTGCAGGTAATATTCTCAGTTTATCATGAGAAAGAGAAAACGTGGGAGAAAGAGCTGAGGAAAATCAAGGCCATCTACGACAACCGACTGAAAGCTAGCCAGCAGAGGGCCCTCAAGATGGAGCAGATGCTTACGATGCAGACTTATCAGGTAGGCAAGAGTAATACTCACCATAAACAAGTCAGTACAAAACACCCGCCCCTTTGTGGACAGGGCCTTTATTTCACATTAGTTTTCTACCGCCACGCCGAACTGTATTGCCGACGACACCAACGCAGTTTCAGCAAAGTACTACCATCGTTTTAAGTCTTTCGACTTCCGGGTTGCAAGCCCAGGAACCCCTGGTACAACCACTGCATCAGTGATAAAGGGATGCCATGCGCGATGCTCCAGTCAGCCGTGATGAACAGCGGCTTTGATTCCGACCGGCGCGGCATTGTGCAGTTGGGCAGCTTGTATTCTTATGCAAATCCTCGCTAACCAGCCATTGGTGCCGGCGTGAGCACATTCCTCGAGCCGGCGGGTAAGTGCTCGCCGATCTGACACCGGGCTGGGCTGGGCTAGGCCTTCCTCTCCCACGCTCGGGCCAATCCGTGGTGCCGACCAATCGGGGGAGGGGGTAGAGGCGCCCGATTTTCCCGGAAACCAGTGTAGGCATGCGCAGTCGTGCGCGTAAAGGACGTCCAGTCACTGTTGTTGCTGGCGCGGCGGTGGTGCCGGCCACTGCGGCGGCCACGACCGACACGCGATCCGAGTCCGACACGCGGTACGATTCCAGCACACCATCCGAGTCCGACACACGGTGCGAGTCCGACACACGATCCGAATCCGACACACGGTGCGAGTCCGACGCGCTGCACGATTCTAACACGCGATCCGAGTTCGGCACACGGTGTGAGTCCGACACGCGGTCCGAGTGCGACATGCGGCGCGAGTCCGACACGCGAGTCCGACACGCGGTGCGAGTCCGACACGCGGTGCGAGTTCGACACACGGCTGATTGTCCCGTCGAGACGCGGGGCGACACAGCCGGACTAGGATTTGAGGCCAGGCCACACCCCGGCTAGGCACACGGGACCAGGGTAGGTTCATGTGACAGGTTATGTTTCGGTTGGTACACGGAGACCGGAGCGGGAGCGGGCGCCAACCGCCAGGTCCGTCAAGTCACATATGCCCGTCAAGTTAGCGTCGTAATCGTATTCGAATTCGGTGTCAAGTTCAGATTTCCAACAGCAGTTCATCCCCCTTCCCAGGTTAATCCCATTGACTTATTCACGAATCTGTAATCCTCTTTCCTCTAAGTCACTTAGTTTGACCTCTACAGGTCAATGAAAAGTCAAAACTTGGTTATGCTGGCAGTCCTTCGTTCACCAAATAAATCCAATAAAATGGGCATCGTATTGATCTTCGCCATGTCCTCTTTTGCGCATCTCAAAACCTCACTCTCAAAATCAAAGATCAATGTAACTAAATTTGGATAACATGACATTCCTTCCCTTATGAAAAATGTAACAAAAACGGTGTGATAGTGATGCTCGTGACTCCTTCGTCACGTATGGAAAATTGTATTTTCAAAACCAAAGTTCAACGTCGCACAAAGAGCGATACCATAGAATTTGTTTCTTAGCAAAGAAATATGACTACAGGGGCATCGAAGTAATGCCCGTGATGTCCGCTTTCGTCACGTCTGCAAAACTTACTCTCAAGATCATAGAATGCGGTCACACCAAACGCAGTACCCTGACATGTATTTTTTGACCGAAGAAACGAAACAAAATGGGTAACGTTGTGATGAGGGTGGTGATTACTTTCGTTTCATTCAGGTCAATTGTATTCGTTTGATTATAAAATACGCAAAAAACGAATATCATACTGATACCCGCGATATCTGCATTTCTCACATGAGCAAAAACTAGCCATCGAAGTCAACGGTCAGGATCACACAACATGCGATACCCTGGAATTTACTCGTTTAAGACAAACAACACACTGGGTATCGGATTGGTGCTTTTAGTATTCAATTTCCGTCAAATCGTATTTTTTAAAGTCAAAGGTGAAGGTAAGCAAAATACGTGGCGCCCTGCCATTGTTTCTTTGCCAAATAAATTGAACAAATGCCGTATTTCATTGATGTTCGTGATGTTTGCCTTCGTCACACCTGAAAGCTAACTCCAGGTTAAAGGTCAGGTGTCACGAAAATTGTAGTATCTTGACAGGTATTTATTTACTTAACAAATGTAGAAAGTTGTGCCACATTGATACTTATGATATCTGCGTTCGTCGCACTGGTAAACAATTATTCTGACGATCGAATGTCAAGGTCACCCACAACGCGGTACCTTGACACGTATTCGTTTCCTTAAAATATTCCAAAAAGTCGTGTCGTGTTAATACCACTGATGTCTGGTTTCGTCACATCTGAAAAACTTCGCTTTGAAGGTCAACGGTCAAGGTCATGAAAACGCGGCACTCTGCCATTTATCTATTAACCTAAGAAATTATTTAAAGATTAGCATGTTGACACTCGCCGTTTCTGCTTTCCAGTGCCCGCATCCGCTTACCGCTTACCCGGCTTTTACTGGCTTTCCGCTTACCCGGCTGTATTACTTTCAAGGTCAGATGTCAAGGTCACAAAATGCCGTGAGCTGGCATTTGTTCAGTTTGGTAGAGAAATACAGTCCACGATTCGTCACGCTTGCTAAAACTACCTCCAAAGTTATAAGGTCAAAGATTGAGGCCACGCAAAACGTGGTTCCCTGCCATTAACTCGTTTACTAAAAAAAATACACCGAAAGCTGCGTGGCACAAATGCTCCTAATGTCTACTTTCATTTACCTGAAAATCTAGCTTCCAGGGTCAAATATCAGTGCCTCGCGGAAGGCGGTAGGTTGGATTTGACTAGTTGCAAATTAAATGAAACAAAATGTGTATCATAGTTACGATTACGTCCGATTACGATTGTGTTAAGTGATACATGGTACGATCGCGATGCATATTCCCGCCATTTTTGCAACTGTTCAAGCCCCGGGACCTGCTTCCCAGCCTGCAGACCGCCGCCGAGCAGGTCCCTGGTGGCCCGCAGTTGTGCTTCGGCCGGCACACGGGGCAGGGGACGGGGCACTGGACGGACCACCTCACGCTGACGCGACTCCCATGGTGCGGCCCACCCCGACACCCTCGGCAACACCAGCGACGACGGAGTGCGGCAGGCACCTGCGGCTTCTCCCGGGAACGGGGGGGGGGGGGGGGGCGCTCTTCCCCAGACAAATCACCAAGCACCCCTCCCGGCTACCCGGCGCGGCTTTCCCTGCACGGCTGCAGTTGTTCGACAATTCCTGACACACCGCCGGCGTGCAGGCTGCAGCACGATTTACTGCGGGCCACAGCTGCGGCACTGCATGTCGCCCGCGCACCGGCGGCATCACCAGCCGCCGGCCCGCAGCTGGCGAGAGACGTACGGCCCGTAAACGTCCGCCGGATGGCGCGGTCAGGGAGCGTGTCTATGGGCCGCAGGAACGCAAGCAATGCTGCAGCGTGCAGCGAATGTCGGAAAAATAAAGCCCAGTAGACGCGCGCGGTTTGCCGGCTGGGGCGTCGGCCGTCGGTGCCGCTGGTAACGGCCGCTGCATGGTAACGGCGGGTGCAAATAACTTCTTTGTGAGGTGCAGTCAGCAGCAGCCGCCGGCTGTACACTCCGCCGCACTGTTTGGTGTAAATAAATAAGAAAGCGCCGTGTCCCGCTGTGGCTACCCGCACACGTCTCCTAGTTTTCTCTAGTTCTTCTTCTGGCCTCTGACCTCAGGCTGAAGACGTCTGCTGCTTTCTGACCTCCACGCCTGGGTGCAACGTGGTGTTTACCTGCAGACACTGCATCCTCTTCCCCAGCAGCAGCCTGGCAGCCGTCCTCCTTCTCAGCTCTAGCGTAGTGGTTGAGGCCGCTTCGCCTCCCTCCCTCCCAGCTGTAACCCAGCCCCCCCCCCCCACGGCTGCAACGTGGTTCCCAAGCCTGTGTACTCCTCTCTTAGCCGCGTGACCCCTGAGCACGCGCCCCTCTCCTCCAGCTACAGCAAGAGAAGCGGAAGCTGCGTCAGGAGACGGACGAGCTGCGCCGCGATAAGGATCAGACGGCCCGGCAGAACAAGGAGCTGAAGCAGGAGCTGACGGCGCTGCGCTCCCAGCTTGAGGACACCGAGTGGAGACTGTGTCAGAAGACAGGTCAGGCCCACGCCGTCGGAGCTGTGTCGGCTACGCACGGCCTGCATGACCAGTCTGACGCAGAGCCGTGTCGTCCGTCGGGCGCCAGCTAACTGCGCGCCGGCTGTGCCTCGTGGCAGTTGGCATTCGCACCACGACTTGGAAGTGTGGCTGAGATAGGAGTAAAATAAGTCAATTACAGCCGCAGTTTACTTACCCATGGGGTATCAGAGGTTACACCGTAGCGGACAACATCAACTGAAAATGAAACAAAAGTCATCGAAGGCATGGTACGTATGATATGATATGAGTGCGCGATCAGTTCTTCACGGTTGGTGTTCACACGCTAAACGCTGTTGTTTACCGTTCGTCCAGGTGAGATATCGCTGCTGAAGTCGCAGCTGAAGGACTGCCAGGGCGATCAGACCACACGCAGTCATGAGATGCTGCACATCCGAGCACAGGTGCGCGAGTACGCCGCCCAGCTGGAGACCAAGGACGCCGACAACAAGCGGCTCCAGGCCGAGACGCAGGCACTCCGCGAGCAGGTCAGTGGATTGGCTGCACGCTCCCACAGCAGGCCAGTGGATTGGCTGCACGCTCCCAAAGCATGCCAGTGGACTGACTGCACGTTCCCAGAACACGCTAGTGGCTTGCCTGCACGCCTTCCGAGCAGGTCAGCCAATTGGCTGCACGCTCCCCTAGCAGACCAGTGGATTGGCTGCACACTCCGCTAGCAGGTCGGTAGCCCAGGTACGAGCGCAGGCCCCCGCAAGCCGGTCAGTGGCTTGGATGAGGGCTCAGGCCTTCCAGGGCATGCGACATGGCCGTAGTCGGAGATGCCGGCGGCAATGGACTACAGCTGCTTGCGGTCCACCGCGGTCTCCGGCCGTCTTGCTGACCCAGTAGCTGTTGCTCCCATCTGTGGTGGTGGCGAGGCCTCAGTCTTTCCCGACCTCTAGTTATAAACCGGTGATGGCCCACTGGCGTGATCAGCTCGGTGTCCTTGGAACAATAAACCATGCAGCGCGCAACCGTGCTAGGTCAAGCTACGTGCGAACTCGAAGGTGTGCAGTCAGCAGTCCACAAGCCGGTCCACTGTGACTCGCGGCAGCGGGACAAGACCCACGCATAGCTTGGACCCCTCCTACTGACCTGGTGCTATCATTCCTGACCATTTTGGTCTGGCGTGTCTGCGGCTGTTCGTGACCCATACCTGGGATGCATACCGCTACTACGGAATCTTCTGGTGGCCTGATGCGTCCCTTCTGCTTCCGCCCATTTCTTTGATCGGGTACGTCCCTGCGGTTCCCGGGTCTTCTGCTGACGTGCCCCCCCCCCCCCCACACACTGTTCCCAACTCTTCTGCTGACCCGACGGCTGTTGTTCCGTTCCCTTCCCTCTGCTGATCCGTTCACCGTCGGCCAGGCCATGGACCGCCGCTCGGACGAGACGAACGTGGTGATCGGCCAGCTGCAGCGCGAGATGGAGCGGCTGAAAACCGAGCTCAGCATCGGCCGGGCGCAGGCACAGGCGCAGCGCGAGGGCTTCGAGGAGGAGCGACTCCACTGGCTCGACGAGAAGCAAAAGGTGCACCGCCCCCGCCTCCGGCCACGCCGGTGCACTTTGCGCCGGCGAGGTCTCGTCAGCCGTCAGAGACGCGCTCGTCCGCAGCGGTCAGGGGTCACCGCCCGGCCGGCCGGCGTGCTGCGCGTTTAATTGTGAGGTCGCTTGTCCATTTCAAGACGATGTATCTTGTTTACGCGTCGGGCTGCGGCCGTGTGTATTGCTCACTTGAGACGGAACAATGCTCGTATCGACGGCATGGCTCCAGTCCGTTCTCGCTAAGTTTTCGAGCGGCCCAGCAAACCAAAGCCTCCCCGCCCATCCCCCTCCCCCGCCCTAACCTGTGTTCGCCTCTGCAGGTGGTAAACTATCAGAAGCAGCTGCAGCTCAACTACATGGAGATGTACAAGCGGAACAAGAGCCTGGAACTAGAGCTGAGTAGCCGAGAGAGCAAGCTGAACTCGAGCGGCGAGTCGCAGTGCTGACATGACCCGACCGCCTCGCCCCCCGTGCCAAATGTGACTTGTTACGCTGCTCTGATATTAGTCGCGCGGGCGCCGCGCCGCCGCCCGAGGCGGGCGAGCAGACGGCTGTGGCGCGCGCAGCCAAGCAACGCGACGCCGGCATGGGACGTGGGAGGCCAGGAGCGCCGCCGCGGCGCCCGCCCGCTCCGTGCTGACGTGCGGCGCGCGCTTACGCGTGTGAAGTGATCGTGATGGCGGATTGTGACTGGACGTGCGTGCTGCTGTCTCTGAGCTCTTCACGTCTGGCTGAGGCCAGCGAATCTGTGGACGTGTCCCATTGACGGTAACTCTTAGACAGTCTAGTCAGTCTAGTAGGTTGTGTCCGCGAAGCTGGAGCTCCTATTTATTCTCGTTGTCAATAAACGTGGATCGGAACGTTCCGACTGTGCGTGTCGAGACAGGCCTGTTCGGACACGTTGTGCGCGCGCACCACTGTGTTTGGGGGTGGCTGCACACTCAGCCCACATGAACCGTATAGCTTCCAAAAATACAGGCCACACCAATGAGTGGCATAACACACTCGGCTTCCATGGTCCGTATTGTTACCAAAAATAAAGGCCACGCCAATGAGGTGCATCATACATCGTCAGTGTAAACATCCCGTATGACTTTCGAAGCAGCATTCCCTCAACCTATCACAGCCGTGCTCCCTCAGTCTTCTTTTCCGGATACAAAGGCTGAAAACAAAAGAGAAGCGCTTGGAGAAAGCCTCGGCCCACGCAAGATTGTGCCGTGCAGAAATAGCAACGCCATCTCTCGTCACTCAGCCGCAGCGCAACACGCATAACAAATGGCAATGTGCACAAAAACAGTGACAAGAACACGGACGGGGTGCCCACCTCGTTTGATGGCCTTGACCTTGGCTGGGTCACATTGCAGCCAGTGGCGCTCATCGCTGGCGGCGCCCATGGTGACGCCGGCGGGCATGTCCAGGGCGGAGCTGCGCGCGCTGCGGGCCGAGGCGTGCAGCTCTCGGACGCCCGTCAGCCGGAGCAGAGCCGGCGCCGTCTGCGGCGTCACACCGCCGCCCGGCATCACGGTCAGCCGGCCGGCCGACAGCGACACCAGCCGGCCAATCAGCGCCGCGCCCTGCCAGAGATACACCAGGCGGCCCGGTCAGGGGGAGGGGGCACGCCCCGTCAGCGGCGGCACCAGGCGGCCCAGTCAGGGGGAAGGGTATGCCCCGTCAGAGGCAGCGCCAGGCGGCCCGGTCAGGGGGAGGGGTACGCCCTGCCAGGCGCGGCGCAAGGCGGCCCAGTCAGGCAGTGACCAGGACCTCTCAGGGGTGACACCAAGTGGTTTGATCAATGGGTCTGAGGGAAACCAAAGTGTGATAAAGGGAGAAGGGACAGCATAACATTATGCTCTGGCATATTTGTAAATCATGCCAACACCTTTTATAAATAAATTACAATCTTCAAGCCAGAAATCCTTGGTTTTCTTTCATGGTAAACATCAAGCATTATGCAAGCATCAACAAGCATCACACTCGGGTATGGTTTTGTTTCACACCTCCAGCATCCTGTGTGACATGGGTCAGAAAGACACTACCTTTTTGGAGGCTACTCTTAATACAGCATTGCCATAGGATAGGAGTTCTGTCTGCTTTGTCACTGCAAAACCAGGAAGCTGAGGGATGAAAATGGACAAATGTCTAACCTTATTTGTGAGTGGCCCCTTGTTGATGCTCAATGGAAAACAAGTGAATGAGCCAGTGTGACATGGCTGGATATGCATGGCCACACCCACCTCCAAAGCTGAAGGGGCCTGCCCGCTCGTTAGCAGACGCACAAAGCCCAGCTTGATGATGGTGGTGAGAGCCTGCTCTGGGTGCAGGGTGCAGTCAAAGGCACGATGGAATGTGCAGGACAAAGGTGCAGCCACCCTGAGCAACTGGTAGCACTTGTCCTGAAAAATGGAAGCCAAGCATGGTTGATGTTACCCTTGAAGTCCACAGTTGGATGCACTTCAGATATCAAAATAAGACCATAACATTTGCACACAGAAATATTAATAGAAAGAACTGTTGACAAGCCTTGATGATACATCTGAATCACTCAATGTCTCCTGCATTCAGCATGGATTAGTTAACTTCCTGAGATTAACTTTCAAGCACCATGCTCAGTCTACATTTGTATGCCATATGGACTATTGCCATCAGGATCATCATTTGTCTGCATGCACAAAAGGGTGGGGGGAAATGCGATGGGCAGATACATCGCAAAATGTTTAAGCTGCTACTTTAATGGAAGTGTAAGGAAGCGTTGACTTTCAAGGTTATTTCGCACCCAAAAGGCAAAAATCCAAACACCACACCTGATCAACAGCTCCTGATTCATCTAAGCATCCAAAAACAAAACCATCAGCACCAGCTTTCTTCATGCTTTGGATGTCTGCCTCCATGACATCCATATCATCGCTGCTGTACACAAAGTCTCCCTGGCGACATCTGATCAAAACAAACACTGGAATCTGGAACAAGAAAGTATTAAAATAAACCTACTGCAGTAGTTGCTTTGTAGAATCATGCAAATTTTACAGGCATGACTTTAACATAGTTTGTTTCAACATAACATCCCTGAATAAGAACATGGTTAAACATGCATACAGAACCATCGCTGGACAAACTTGGTACATGAATATCACAATGACCAGAAATAAGGCGCATGCTGCACACCTGCACAAGCTTCTTGACTGTTGTCAGAAGACCAAGACTGGGAGTCAAACCTCCCTCTGAAAGCGCTGCACATAACTCAAGCCGGTCTGCACCTCCATCCGCTGCAGACACAGCAGAGTCTACAGAATCCACGCACACCTCTAGCATTGTCCAAATACTACTAATAACGGTGAATGCTTAAATTAAACCGCCCCGCCGTATTTCCGGGGATCAATGTTTACAGTTTAGTCTCTGGGCGCGCGGGTAAAAGTTATCTATTTTAGCAGATTTGCAGCGCACCTTTGCCTGCAGTGGCGTATTTTCATGCGCGCCGGAATGAATAGGCGCAATGAATTGTCGCCATTACGTGACAAAAGTTAATTTTATAAATGTCTGAGGGATTTCAGCCAAATATGTTCCGTACATATATTTTTAGCTTTATTTTCAACGATGCTTTCAATTTTTCGCAGTGCTATTTTCAGTTACAGCTGATCTGACGAATCTAACGCGTCGATGACAAAGGGGACGCAGTTCTTATAATTCACTGAAAACAGTCGCGGTGATCCGGTGGGGTAGAATAGGGCTGTGTTTTACCTAAACCAAATACCGGAGGGTATGTAAATTAGCAGTACGCCGGCTTCTCTGGAATAGTGGGAAAATTACTCGGAAAAGTCTGTGGAGGGCTTCGGGGGAATCAAGTTGTGCTAGGGAATGTTGCTCAGTATAGATTGATCTAAATGCTGTTTTGGTGGTTTAATTTGATCCCAAACTGGACAATCCGTACTCACTTGCCGATCTGGAAACTATACCCTGACCTAGCCCATCAGTTGGGTGGGGGGCAGTCATTTAGATAGAGAGTATCTCTGGGGTGTAATTCACACCAAAAATTTGAGAAATTGACAACTCATTAAAGTCTTTATGATATCAGAAAATAGAAGCATGTCCTGTGGAAAAGACATCTGACATCCTACATTCTGCTTCACTGGCGACTTTCCTGCCTAACTCACTTGATGGTTGTCCTGCCTGTTGAGCCCAGCAGGGTTGTTCGACAGTATGGCCTATGCAACATTTGTTGTGCAGGTGTGCCAGTGGCAGATCCTGGCCATAAGCTTGCTCATAGTGACTGTATATACAGTTGTGCATGTTTCTAGAGGCTAGAACTATAGCTTCTTTAGATGGGCCTGTTGATAGCATTCACTACTGAGCTGGAACAGGTGGGAACAATATATGTCATGAGGTTTATGCAAACACCATTTTCCCACTCAAGTACAAAATTGCTAGATATGCTTGTTAAATTCATTATCAGCCTATCCAAACAGGATCTCACCAAAGTAAATCATGTCTCAAAGAATGACAAAGGAATGCTACATTTTTAGCTTTGCACATGGTTGCCAGGCTTATGTATTTGTATGTTTTTCAGGGTTCATCCATCTGCTACTCATCAGAGAAGCATGATGCTGTCAAGACTTACCCACCATTCCCGTCTGGCATTAGCTGGAACAAGGTGATGATTCAGATGAGGAGAAAGCGCTTATAGGACATAATTTAAGTTCGGCTTTATAATTTGCCAACTAGGTCAGGGTGTACTTTCCTACCTAACATTAGAAAAAATCATTGGACATCATTTGTTGTGTTTAAGGCAGGGCATATTGTAAATAATCACAAAACAGGTAGATTCATGCTCTTACCTTCAAATTTTTTATAATTACGATGGCGAGCTCCTGAGCTCCGCACACACACAGCAGCTGCGACACCGGCGCCATTACTGCTGCGGTCACAACATTACTGTGCATCAAGCAGCATCAAGAACCATACAAATGTAGGGGGCCAAGGTAACAAGAATCCATGACATTTGATCCTTGACCCAATGGGACGATGGGTTGCAGGGGGATTGGGTGGAAGGCCATAAAAGGTTACAATTCTAACACGACCTCGACATCTGCACTTTGAGGCATTGTTCACTTTCAATTTTCAAGGCCTTGTTTCACAAGTTCTTCCCAAAGTTGGAGGTAGGTGGTGGGATGGGGTTTTCTTGAGCACCCCCCCCCCCCCCCCCTCCAACTAGATAGGAAACTGCACCCATGGTGTATATGTATGAATGCATGTATGTGTGTGGTTTTGTTGAGTGTTGTTTGAGTTTTTATGTTTTGTATCAACAATATTCAGACCAAGTTGATGGTCCTACATTCAGGTCAATTTGCACACAGATGTGATTTGCATTGTTTGCAGACTTGGTATTGGTGGTCTGCAGACTCAGTTGCACTGTTAAGCACACTGAGACTGTTTCACAACAAAAGGCATTTGGTCATAATCTGATCTAAAAATTTGTATGTATGCATTTTAAAAGTATGTGCTTTATTGATTTGTTTATATACATGCTGTCCCCCATTCTGAAATGTTTGCAACCACGGCTGGCGGCAGGCTGTTTAGCGCGTCGCCGGCGGCTCGTCAGGAGTCGTCCGACGGCTGGCTGAGCAAGCTGCTGGTGAGGAAGATCGAGCCCACCAAGGAGTCCCACTCACGCATGCTCTCCGACAAGGAGGTCATCTACGAACTGCAGACGCACAATGTCCGCTGCGGCGAAATGGACAACTACCTGAACAACTAGTAAGATCGTTTGGTATCGACGGTGAAGCATCAGCTTCGATTCAGTATTGGAAGTAGATAACAGGGCTTATATGGCGTAGCGTGGCGTAGCGTCCATGGCGTGCAGCGCACGCGTCGCGAGGTGACACTACTGCGCGGTGCTACCCACGAGCTCGGACGCATAAGAGGTGACATGGTGCTTGGATTCACCGTGGTCAGAGCATGGAAATGCAGCTGGTTGCTGGAGATTGGATGGCTAAGTCAGACCAGACTCAAAGCTCCGATGTACCTCTTGTGGTTTTGTACCTCTTGGGTACATAGCCAATATTTAAAAAGTCATGAACAGGTCCTTTAGCCAAGACATCCGTCAGAACTCCCGCCGCGCCGGTCAAAACCTATGCGATAGAGTCCTTTCCTGCATGCTCCCCCACCTCCGCTTCCACCTTCCGGGGCATCGAGGTTGTTACCGAGTCTTCTGCGTGGATTTAGGCAAATTGGACTGCCTGAAAATATACTTAAAGCTAGGTGTCACATGCAGATAGTACTTTCGCAACGCAGCATGTGTGCTCTAAAGCTGCAAATGAAGAGCGAAAACTCGCGTGCGTTGCGAAATTGCCTGTGGGTACGGGATCTTCTGCTTGTCGTTGTCCGTGGTCAGTACGTAACGGGAGCTTGTGTTCGGCGTGACGTCAGTGAGCGGTACCACAATGAGGTGCAGGAGCGCACTGTCGGCGGCCAACTGCAGCAAGAGCTGGTGGGCAGCTGGCAGGTGACTGTCGGCGACCAGGATCAGTGTCTGCACCTCTGGAAGTACAACGGCGGCTACAAGGCTGTCGACGCAGCCAGGACCGCCCACCTCGAACAGAAGGTGACGGTGGTGACTGCTGAGGGCCTGGCCGGGGACTGCGCAATACGATGTGTGCTCGGAGGGGCGGCTCGAGTGGGGTGGTCGGTACTGATCCGCGCAAAGTAGATCGCTTTGGTGACAGTGTGCCCGGTCTGCATCCTGCTGGGTGATGGTGACATGTTTCAGCCTCAGGCTGGTTTGTGCGTGAGCTGTGACGTACCCTTACCCCGCTGACCGTACTGCTCGAACTACAGAAGGAGCTGTGGTCTGTGGGTCCTGTGGTGTTCCCTCAGGACCTGGCTGTGCTACTCATGTTACTGAAGGGGCTGCGGGCTGTGGGTTCTGTGGTGTTCCATCAGGACCTGGTTGTGCTGCTGGAACTACTGAAGAAGTTGTGTGCTGTGGGTCCAGTGGTGTTCCCTCAGGACCTGGCTGTGCCACTCAGTGAGCAGGGCCCACTTCGACTGCAGGTCCGGGGCCACTGAAAGTGTAGAGGTTAACGCGTCTGCGTTCACCACTACACGTCTGGGAAACCGGAGGTATGGGGTTCGATTCCCGTGGTGCCCACCTTTCCTGCCAGGGTGAGAGGGAAGGCGACGTCATATAGCCTCAGCCGCTGAGCGCGTCGTAAGTCCCAAGGACGACGACCACTCTTTCCCCCAGGACCTTGCGGCGCTGCTCAAGGAGCGGGGCTGCCTCCTCCGCGCCCGCCACTCCCAGTACCTGCTGGCGTTCAGCTTCTGGCCGCCGCCGGCGCCCCGCGAGGGCCACCACCTGTACGAGATTCGCAGCTACCTGCTTAAGCCGGGCACCATGATCGAGTGGGGCAACAACTGGGCGCGTGCCATCCACTACCGGCGCGAAGGCGACGAGGCGTTTGCCGGCTTCTTCTCACAAGTCGGCCGCCTCTACAACGTCCACCATATCTGGTGTGAGTACCCAGTGCGCGAGCGCGCAGTCCCGATCAGTTTCTGTGTGTGTGCGTGTGGATGATTCTGCTAAGCTTTGAGCGTAGACTGTGCGTCGCTCAGATGCTGCTTGATGTGTTCATTGTTTTCGTGGTCTGCATGTGCGTGCTTGGCCAGTAACCTGTTGCCTGAGCTTGGGCTGTGTATGTTGAGTACACAGTGCACCCAACAGTCGAAACTGAATGATATGAAGTGGTATTCACTAACATAGGTCTTGATTATTTTACAACAAAGTCTGTGCACTCTCACCATTTTCGGATTTTTTGCTTTTGTTCTGGTTGTACATATGGTTGCTGTGAGAGGCCCATGGTAAGGTACACCTAGGCTGGCGTTATCACCTCAGCTTAATGAATGTTGAATTTGGGTGCATTATTCATTATTATACCCTCTGCTGCTCTATAGTGCGCCGGCTCGTCCCAACCTTTGTAATAGAGGGGATCATAAGCGGCTGTTGCGATTTAACCTCCACTCGATGGAAATTGATGCTTACCTATCAGTCCGGAAGTTACCGTTCAGTGAAACCAAAGGTGTGCTTTGGCAATGTCATCTAAACATTTTTCCAGGGTTGTCTTCATTGCAACTATTTGCCAATTTTGTCACCACGACGTGGATTAAATACTTATATTGATTGGTTGTGGCCGTCTGATGCAACAAATTGCATATGTAAAGCATACTGTGTGGCGAATGGCTTGCGGAACTGTCATAACAAGAGGCTGCGCGCTCTCTGCAATACTGCATCTCCTTCAGGGGCGTAGGTTTTCAATATGAGTCGGGGAGGGGGCTGAACAATGAAAAATGACCAAACCTTTCACTAAAACATGTTATCAAACAAATTTCTCAGAATTGTTTAAACAGTCATGTGGACATCATCACAAACATCAGGTTTGGGCAAGCAGAGATCAAACAGATCTCAGATTCTTCAGATTCCCAAACATATTTTCAAACAGATTTGGCCCAGTTCGTTCCCAGCTCCAGTGGAGGGGTCTTCAGACTGAATAGGAAACTACACCCCTGATCTTCCTCAGTCTGCGTGTCTCCTAAGCATCGTGCTACTGCGCGCCGTTGCGCTGCGGTGGGTTTGTGCACGTGGCGTGAGTAGTTGTCCGGCCGGGCCGCCGGAGCCGCGCCGACCACTAACACCACCCGCGGCCGCCGTCGCAGGCTACGAGTCCATGCAGCACCGCAAGGAAATTCGCGAGACCGCCTGGAGGAAGCCAGGCTGGGACGAGTGTGTGGCCTACACGGTGCCGCTCATCCAGAACTTCCAGAGTCGCATCATACTGCCGAACCCGTTCTCGCCGAGCCGCTAGGGGGCGCGGCGCGGCGCGGTTGGCAGGTAGGTGGCGAGCTGGCGGACGGCGGCCGACCCGCGGTGGGTGCGGCTGACCCCGCACTAGGCTCGGCCGCTCACCACTTCCGGCCGGTCCGACACCGGCCATCGAGAGCGGAGCTGACGAGACGTCAGGGCGTGTGTGTGACGTCCGCCGGCGAGTATTGGCAGTAATCGTTTGTGCATGATGGCAACTGACGCCGAATACTGACGCTTCATTGCTGGCGCCCGTTCTTTGTCAAGTTGCCAGAATTTTTACCCTGCGAATGCTAACTACCGCTCACTTTTTCATGGGAAAATGTTCTTTGTAATAAGGAAAGCCAAATTAGCTTGGTTGCTATTGGTACAACCTTGGACATGTCTCAGAATCGAAGATGGTGGCCGCCACCATCTTGAATGCCAACTTATTTTGATCCGAATAACATAGATGGCCGTGTAATATCGATTAAAGGGGTTATTATGGAAGGACGAGTCCATTACTGAAATTATCGTTGGGCTACGAGGTCTAATTCTACGCTAAATCAGAGGTAAAGTATCAAGCCAGAAAATCTTTGACGCGTAGTGTCGCGTCTTTTAAAGAGACCTTGAGGACGCTACTACCAGCCAGCACCCGTCGCATTTCCATACGACATTCTTCTGTGGCAAAGCCATCATCACTTCGTACACCTAGCCCCCTTCGTTGTCTTCGATGTCCATCTGCTCACTGGCGCAACGGCTAGCGTATTTTTCCTTAACACTTAAAGCAGTTTGTACGCCGAAGGCCTTTGCTGTGGCTGTTGCGGCTGCAACGTGCAACGCTGCATGCCTTGCTTTCAGCGCTGGAGCTGCAGGTCAGTACATCCATGGGCGTTTCGGGAGTAGCTGCTGCTGTTGAGACGGGCGGTATGGTAGTGGAGACTTCGCCGCTCCAACCGAAGTTGCCAATATCTTTAGGGCCTATTCCTGGGGGAGGTCACGGAAAGCTTTTCAGGGTTGGGGCAGGGAGTGTAGTGGGCCAGTTAAGTCTCTAGACTTTCAGCCAGGCCTTCTGCGGTCCCAGGAACTCGCCAGACGAGACGGTGCAGCACCTGACCAAGGTCAACGAACATCTTATCTGCTGGCACTGGAGTCTCGCTGTCCAAGTGTCACCAGGCGTGCGCGCCTTCAGTAGCTCCTCCCTGGCACGCTAGGAAAGGTGTTCATCTGTCTCGCACATCAGCTCAGTTAGTGAGCATAACTGACTTGCCACGAAGGAATACGGCAGCAATGCCTTGAGGCAGTGCTGAAATGGGAACTTGTTCCCCGCTCCGCACAGGAGCTTGAGTGCCAGCAGTGTAGGGTTTAAGAGGCATTTATGCATAGGTTTCTGGTCAGGAGCACTTCGGCTGTCTCCAGGTAGCCCCTCAGCTCCTGTCTTGACAGAAGGATGGTGTGTCTGACACATTTCGCTGCGGAGATGTCCTGACACGTTTCGGGCAGAACCTCTGCAGCAGAACGGCGATAGTGGGCTGTCCCCTGCGCGAATTACCTTCCATGTTATGCGGCTGTAGCACTGCAAGGGACCTTCTAATCTAAACACACTTCGGCTTCCGTCAAAGGCTCTGTCCGTTGAAGAGTCATGGATTCAGTCCCCTGTCGTCAGGTCCAGTCAACAGTGAGGCCTAGCACGGCTGTCGGAAGTCCACAAGACTGAAAAGCCGGCCGAGCGGACGGGTTTTAATAAACAGATAGACCAACTGGTGACGGACTCAGTCCTGAAGTTTAAGACACCGATGGTGCTCGGGTCGATGGTCGACTCGCCGCATGACAGCCAGACACACTTCTGTCTACGCTCGTGTGTCTCGAAAGCACTCGCAATGCAGTCGGGATACAGCACACCCATCTCACAGCCGACCTTCACTTGTAGCAAGCCGCATAACTAGTCTAATCCAACGAGCCTCAGCGCCGGACCAACATCATACTTCATTGCACTCGGGCATGGTGCACACTCATGATGCACGGGCGTACTTCCCACAGGCATCATGCATACCCCATGAGTGTCCTGGCCTGTATAGGGATACTGATGTGGGGAGCTGTTGTGAGCGTAACTAGCAGCGCAGCGCTTGGTGGCGGCATCATCAGCAGGACAAACGGGCAAACCGCCCCTGGCAGCAAGTCATACCAGAAGCTGAGCGACTACGTGAAGTCAGCCTGAGACACCCGACTGGGAGGATGTGGGCAGGCTCCTTGGTGGACGGGCGATCCATGGGAACAGCGCAGAAACGATTATAACGAGGGATACTGGTATCGAGCGCCAGCAGGATGCAAATCAGTCACCACCCTGAGCATACACGCTGTCGCTTTAGCGCCAGAGGTTCTTCGGCTGTGGCTTGTACGGTTTTTGACCTGTACCCAGCTGCGTGTGCCTAGCTGTCCCACCATAGTGACTTTGATCCGAACCGAGACTGTCTACTGTCCAGGAAAGAGTATAAGCCAGAGTCACTATGATACGACTTCAGCAACGTTGGGGGAATCGCTATAGGAGCCCGTAAGGACTTTCATGTTTCACTGTTTGCAGTGGCGTGATTTGTCAGCTGAGATACCTCGTCCTGGTAGAGTTGTGGGCTACTCATCGCATATCTCTATGCAGCGACGTACTCCTAAACGGTCACTTTAGTAGATTCGAGAGTGCATGGCTGTGTAAGTATTACGGTCTGCTATAAACATGCATCATGTATGGAACACATTATTCAATATTAATATAATGTATGTCACATGCAGCTGCTGCGAGGTTTACCCTTACAGTGAGCACGAGAAGAACAAACGGCAGATATTGGTCAAAATGCAGAAATGGGCTCCCTTCCATCAAAAGTCCCCAGAAATGGCATCGCACTAGGCTCCAAGTCGTCGAGATGAAATGTGCAACTGAACCATCATTCAAGATGGCGCTGGCCGCCATCTTGAATACCGAGAAATGCACAACGTTGCACATTCAGCAACCAAGCGAATTTTGCTCTCCTAGATACATACAACTAGATACATAAAAATTTCCATCAAAAGCTCGCGGTATTTCACATTGCATGCTGGCATATAAGAAGCATAGGGATCGCAACTCGACTTCACGTATACAGCGAAGTGAAAAGTGTCTGGTGTGAGCGCCGTGTATGTGGCACATGGTTATAAGATTGTGGTATATAGCACATGCAGCTTCTGTAAGTGGTACCCGTACAATGTTGTTGAAGATAGCGAACGACATGTATCGATCAGTAGAGGTGATTTTCATTATTCGTGATCGTCTTTGACCTTTGACCCTTAATTTGATCTTGGGTTTGACCCCATGCGTCAAAAGTAACTGTTGGACTCCCTGTTATAGAAAACCCCTCAAAATCGGTGTCAAACGACCCTCCAAGTCATCGAGAACAAAACATTGAAACTGGACCAAAATTCAAGATGGCCGCGGTCGCTATTTTGGATTTTAAAAAATGTTCAAAGCTGCACAAGTGGTAACGAAACTCATTTGGATCTCTTACCTACATAGAGCATATTTCACGAAAAGAGTTCGCGATAGTCTACATTGCAGGGTCTCATATAGGACGTGTGAGGATGGCAGCTCGACTACCTGGGCACACAACGCGTAACACTGAGCGTACGGGACAATGTCGGTCACGCGGCTCAGTTTAAACAGGGATAACGGTGACTGTAGCGACACGGCACTGTGCAGGGCTGTCGGGCGTCTCGCGCTTGCGTCAGTGATTGTCGCCGTGCCGCGTGTGGTCCGTCCTCGCTTGACAAACTAACACGGACACGCCTGCTGCTCGGTTCGAGCGGCGTTGCCTGACCGGCACCGCCTCCGTCCGCAGGCTACGACGACCTGCAGCACCGCAAGGAGACGCGCGAGAACGCCTGGTTCAAGCCGGGATGGGATGAGTGCGTGGCCCACACGGTGCCGCTCATCGGTGGCATGCAGTCGCGCATCACGTGGCCCACCCGCTTTTCCCCCACGCAGTAGTGGAAGAGGTGTACCCGACCAACGTCGCAGCCGCTGTAGTGACCGAAAGCCGACGGACAGCTTTCTGATGCGTCTGTTTGCCGCAGTCCGAGAGCGCCGGGTGACTGGTTGGGTGCGGTTGTTGGAGTAGCGCGTTTGAGTCGGTCTGTTGACTGCTGTTACGTTGTGAGTCCGTGAAGCGCGAGCCTGAGTCGAAGATTCTGCAGAAGGCTGTGGTGGGAGAGATCTTTGGTGACGGAGGCGACCTGTAGGTTTTCAGCTGAGGGAAAGTTTTGAAACATTTATTTTGAGGGTTTGGTCTTATGTTGTCTTGTTTGCTGAAATGAAGCGTGAATGCTATTGAGTACATAATAAACGAATCATGTCCTTACTTCGGCCCACTATTTACTCAATTATTTCACTTGCTAGCAAACGCAGAGCTCTCGTGGGTAGTACTTGTATGTTACCATGTATTGGCACGTTAGTTATCTTAAGGAAGATATAAAACAAGGCACGACACAAGACAATGAGCAGCTGCTGTTAATAATGACCCTCCGCTGCCCGAATGCAGTGGACCGCGATTGGCCGACCGGACTAGATGCCCGCTCGTCGAGGTCGCGACTCCGCCCGTGCGACACGTCCTTTGACCCAGCCGACGTGGTTAAAACTAGTTGGCATCACAGAGTGCAGCCGGGGCGCGGCCGGCGGCTGGCGGCCCGTGTATCACATTTCACCGGTCGGCCGCCGGCACCAGGTGGCTGCCGTCGGACGTGTCGCCCTTCTCCGACGGCGCCGCCGCCGCCGCCGCCGCCCGCTCGCCGGCCGGCGGCGATGGCAGGCGGCGCTCGGGCGCGCGGCGCGAGAGCGATTCGGCGCGTCGCGTTCGCCCGCCGATCGACGATGCAGGACGCTCGGACGCTGAGCGCCGGTACGCCTGGCGGTCGGCGGCGGCCGGCTGGCGGACCGGCGACGCCGGGCGGGAGCCCCGGCCGTGCATGGCCGGCACTGACATCTGGCGGTTCATGGCGCGCGGCGGTGCGGGCACGAGCCGCGGCGGACTATGGCGCGGCGCCGGCACGGACATCTGACGGCCCACAGCCGGCGGCGGCGGCGGCGGCTGGGTGGGCGGCGGTCCCGGACACTGTGGCCGGCTGTGGGGCGCCGGCGCCGACAGCTGCCGCTCGGGGCTGGTGGCGCGCGGCAGGTCGTAGATGCGCTCCGACAGCTGCCGCTCGGGCGTGGCGCCGCGCGGAAGGTCGTACACCGGTTCGTCGGGCGCGGCGCCGAACGAAAGTCGCTCCTCGGACGGCGAACGGCCGGGCGACGAGCGGCTCCGACTGGGCGCCGACTGGCCGCTCAGACGCGTCAGCTCGGTGCTGCTCGGGTCGGGCGGCCGCTCGGAGGCGCCTGGCGAGCTGGCCGCGTCGCGCGGCGGGCTTGTCGACTGCTTCCGGCTGCTACCCAGCGACGAGTCGCGTGACGTCACGCGACTGTAGGCGGCCGTGCGCCGTGGCAGGCTGCCGCTCGTCTGCGACGACGACTGCGATACGCGCCGCGCCGCCCGTGGTGACGCCATGCCGTCGGTGGCGTCGGCGCCGCTCGGCTCATGCGACGACTTTTGCAGCCACTGCAGCACCTGGTCGTTGGGGTGCATGGGTGCCGTCGGCACGATCGGCTTCTTACGCGCTCGCTCGCCGTGTTTGCGGTGCTGGCCGTCCTTCGTGGCGTTGCGGCCTAGCCATTCGGAGATGACGTTCTCTGGCGAGACGGGCAAGCCGAAGCGTTTCTTTTTGTCGTCGCCTGCCTTGCCGGTCGGCTTGGCGTCCTTTGCCGGCCGCTTGGTGGGACTGATGGAGCGCGAGCGCGTCTTCTTGTGCTCGCGCTGCGAAGAGCGGTGCCTTTGGGAGGAGGAGCGCCTCAAGCCGGCTTCCGCCGGCCTCGTCCGGGCCTTCTCGCCGTCCGGCCGGTGGCGGCGTGCGCGGTCGCGGTCGGGACTGCGCGGCCGCACCGCCGCGTCGGCCGTGGCGCGCCGCTGCTTGCTGGGGCTCTCCTGGCGGACCGGCTTCTGCGGGCTGCCCGGCGGCTTGGGCAGCGAGCGTCGCTTCTCGGCGTTAGCCGCCGACGTCGCCGGTTTTCCGGCGCGCCAGCACGGCCGGCAGCGACTTCCGCTTGTCTGCGTCGGCCGTGGCCTCGGCGCCCTTGGCGGCGGCGGCAGCACCAGCGCTGGTCAGCTTCGGCTCCGTCTTCGTGTCGCCGGCCGTCACCTCCGCCGGAATGTTGGAGTAGCTGATGACCTTGACGCCCTCCTTGCCGGCGGCCGTTTCGTGCGGCCGACGCCGCGAACGCGACTTGTGCTCCTTTCGGCGGCGTTTGTGGCCGTGCGGCCCGGCGGTGCGGCTGCGCTCGCGCTTGCCGCGCTGCGTCTCGATGACGCGCGCCACGCCGCTGGCCACGCTGGCGCGCGACGAGAGCGCCATATGGCTGGCGGCGCGGCGCGCCTTGGCCGCAGCGCGCTTCACCTCGTCGACGCGCTGGCGCAGCGGCAGCCGGCCGCGCTCGGCGGTCGCGTGCTCGGTGACGACGGGCGCGGCCGACGCCGTCTCCGTGTCGGCAGTGACGTCCGGCAGCGGCGGGCTCTCCACGTCGTCCTGCGGCCGCTTCTTGGCGGAAGTAGCGCCGTCGGCGCGGTGCCGGTGGCGCCGCCGCGATCGCTGCGGCGGCGACTTGCCGAAGATGCGGATGACGGCGATCTGCGGCGAGCGTGGAGGTGACAATGTGCAGACAAGCCGTCCTTTACCTTTATTGTCCGGACCAATCCGATGTGGGTCCGGGAGAAACCGGCTGGAGCGGCTTTATTTATCATTCATTCAAGAGTAGAAACTCCAAGGGCTCAAGAGGATGAAACAGATTCAACGAGTAATGCAGTTGAAACTAAGTACAGTGAAACATCGCGTATGTTTGTAAATAATTGTTTTTACGTAAGAGCCGGCCTTGCTCGACCCAATACTCATAGCTACAGAAGACTGTCCTGGCATGTCAAACATAAACCATTGACTTAAGAAAACTTACGTCATGGTTGCATTTACATTTAATGCACGTGAATTGCGTTTAAAACAGCAGCCTCAATAGCAAGAGGGTTGTTTCCCATTTAGTTGGATGGGCCTCCAACCCTCCTCCCCCCCCCCCCCCCCCCACCCACACACACTTGGGCTTCAGTTCTCCAATATTGAGAAGGAAGTGGGCAAAATCCGGGGAGAAACTCGTTTGTTAGCTTATTTGGGGGGTAGGATGTGTCATTTTCGCTGCTCAGCCCGCCTCTTCCCCCCCCCCCTCCCCTCCTCCCCACTCGCTTCATAAAACCGCGATTCTGCTCCATAGTGTCGCAACTGTATCAGTATAATGGGAGCACGTTGCATCAGCGGACCCGGAACGCGTCAATAATGGGCCCCAATTTCGATAGATAAAGAATACGCGTCAATCACGGTCATGAACGACATGCCGAAACGAGTTTACTCACCAACGACAGAATAATGATGACCAATCCGAGGACGATCATGTACCAATACTGGTCCATGAACTCCTTCACGACCGACAGGCTCTGGTCGGACAAAAGGAGGTCCTTGAGCGTGGCCAACGGACCGATGGGATCCACCTGAAACACGCCCGGTCCGTGCAGAGGTCAGCTGAGGTCAGTTGCAGAATAAGTCGGACGAATGCAGAAGACACCCATCGATGTTAACAGGAATAGACAGGCGTACTCACGGGGTCAGCCAGCTTCTCAACAGCTGTTGACAGAGTCGGAGAGATAATCACGGGGTTTGTGGTACGGCCCCAAACCGGCGCGAGAAAGACCGGGATCTCAGAGAAAAGACGGAACTGACCTCCGTGCTGCACAGATGACACGAGGAGATTCGTAACATGCGGCGAAAGCAATAGCAGCGGAAAGGGTGCGCTGAAGTGAGTCCTCTACACTGACATGTGTGCCTAGCAATATACTTTGGCCCCGGCGACAACGCGGTCTGGCAACGTAAAATGTTATTTTAAACTTAGTAAAGCTGGTAGCGCCTAAGCCAGGTCAGTTATCGCTCTGACCCCGGCTGGTGACCGCTGATCATGCCCCATTCTGAGCCAATCATTTCTCTGACCCTATCAATAGACCCATTTGAGTCCAATAGATACGAAGTCGTTTTAAGTCATGGTCGCAACGACCCTGGAAATAGACCGCTTTGAGCCTCTTAATAGACCAGCCTGAGCTCCGAGATGGGCAGCTTTGAGTCCCGTGATGGGTCACTTTGTGTCTACCCGGTAATAAATGACTGGTCCCAGTCACGGATCGCCCTGACTAGGGTTGTCACCGTGGTTTAACACCTGATTTCAGTCACAGATTGCCCTGACTGGGGGTGTCACTGGGGTTGAACGCCTGGTTCCAATCGCAGATCGCCCTGCCTGGGGGTGTCACTGGGGTTTTAACTCCTGGGACTCAGGCAAGGGCTTGTGTACCCAAACTGGCGCTCGATGGTAGTCAAACCGACGAAAAAGATGTTGCAATGACAGAATAATGACCACCGTAAAAGGAGTGCCAAGGGCCATACCCCAGGAACATGGTCCCTGGTAGCCATCGGTGGTGTCTCCGGCTCTGTCCCTTTAAAGGGCCGTTCTGGGCCTCGTGATGGGTCACTGAGGGTCGGGCGACAGACTGCTGGCCGAGTCTGGTGACAGATCGCGGTCCCGGAACGCTCCGGACCGCCCGGGACCGGCTGGGCTGGCGTTCTGGGCCTCGTAATGGGTCACTGAGGGCCGGGAGACAGATCGCTGGCCGAGTCTGGTGACGGGCCGCCGCCCCGGAGCGCTGCGGACCGCCCGGGACCGGCTGGGCTAGCGTTCTGGGCCTCGTAATGGGTCACTGAGGGTCGGGAGACAGATCGCTGGCCGAGTCTGGTGACGGGCCGCCGCCCCGGAGCGCTGCGGACCGCCCGGGACCGGCTGGGCTGGCGCCTGACCTCTCGGCACTGCTGGAAGACGTCGCAGTAGCCGGCGTACTGGTTACAGGGCGTGCCGGGCCGGCTGTACCGGGCCGGGATCTCGAACGGCGACTCGTTCCACTCGAACGACGAGCTGCGGGACAGCAGAGCGGGACGTCACGTGCGGTCGCGTGCAGGCGGCAGCCTTGTGGTCGGACATGGAAGCGAGGGGACGATATCTGCGCCGTCAACCGCGCTGGGGAGAGATACACCGCTGATCTCCAAGCAGTGTTGCTAGGGCTGCGGTGCCAGGTACGGCGATGTGGGAACGACGGCTTGGCTGCCAGGTGTGATGGCGCATGCGATGTTTCAGTTCCCAGACAAAGCGGATAAATTGCTCGGCATGGTAACTGGGATTTCGCAGCAAAGGTCGAACATTGGCAGGGGCATAGCGGTGTTGAGGTGAATAATCAAGGCATGGCGGTGTGAAGGTGAACAACGAAGTGAATATGTGTGATGGAACATTGGCAGGGGCATAGCGGTGTTGAGGTGAATAATTAAAGCATGGCGGTGTGAAGGTGAACAATGAAATGAATATGTGTGACACTGCATCTCCTCGGCAGCGAGGACTGACGCGTCCAATGTGCAGGTTGCATTGCGTAGTTCAGTACTTGAAGATGATGGGAGTTTATGTCCATTAGCTCAGACCAAAATGAATCGATTGAATACGGAGAACGCTATTACAATATGCAAATTGTTGCAGAGGTGGACATTCTGATGTCCTTTTACGGTGCACGTCACGAATTTCAACGATTGCGATCATGTGCTTATTTTGTAATACCGGGACAGCTCACCGCATTAGAGTTCAGCCACCCGTTTCTAGGTCAACATGGACCAAGCGCTCTGTATAAATGCGCACATGCAACGTGCGACAATATGAAGGCGACGAGCTTACTTTCATACAGATCGTTGCATTGTCCTTTCCGTTTCACTGGCCTTGGTCTTACGCTGGTGACAATCGTTTTGTTAAGGCTTGCCGGGTGAATTTTGAATTGATTTTTCCATTTGAAATTTTTCAGTGAAGTACATCGAGGCTCATCAAATTTCATGTGGACCCATAACCTAGTTGTGTACTTGTACCTTTTTCCCGCTCAAAAAGAATTGGATGCTGTTCTTAACGCGGCCCCGGGAATTTCGAAGAATCAGAGATATTCCTACGGAAAAATTGAAAATGTCTTACAGTTTTAAAACAATTCATGTAGCATACCTCCATGAAAACTGCTGATATCAAGCAGTTGTTTCCCAAAAGCAAACGCGCACAGCCTTACGACACGGCCATTCATTAAAGCCAACGCCCCTTATATTTGACTATCACGATGAGACACCGTCAAATATAAAGTGTGTGGCAATATTGTATCTTCGTACAGAGAATCTGATGCGTCATTGTCCTGTCTACAACAACCAGCATAGCTTATGAAATTTTCCCCGTTTGCAATCCTGTCCCTCCCATACATTGCAAGAAAGTCAAGAAGTCACAACAGCTGTTCCCCGCGCCCGTACGGTGGCGGCGCGACCCGCTGTCCTTGGTCGACCACATCACAAGCCGCGCGCAGATTTTCCCCATCACCGCTAACCCGACCGGTTCGCCGGCGACGGTTCTTTGCGGCGGCGGTGAGCTAACAATGCTATCACCGCGAGCAGATCGTCAGCCATGCCCAAACACGGTGCGAGGGGATTTCTTCTGCCCTCTCGCCTGCCCTCCCCACTCCAGGCTGAGCGCCGCCGGGGCTGGTGGCCGGCCCTCAACTCCACTGAGTCACCCGCACGCTGCCGGCTGTGGCCGTGCAGCAGCTCGGGCTCGGCGCACTCGAGCCTCGCGCTCCGCCGCGCGCCGCCGTGGTCAGCGGGCGCCGCGGTCGATGCGTCGGCCGACCGCGGCGCCCGGCTTCACTCACCGGCACGGCTGGTCGGCGCCGGGGCGCTTGCAGCACAGCTCGCAGGACCTGGTAGCGTTGCCGCCGTCGACCGGATCACATTGGCATGACTCCAGCCCGTACGCCAGGCAGATCGAACCCGAACACTCCTGCCGGTGTCGGCGCGTGACGTCACACAATGCACTCTGCCAGGCTCCGGCGGCACGCGGACGCCTGGCTTGACCTTGGACACTGTGCGTTTTTGTGAATCGCTAATGCATTCGCTGCAGTCTGCAAATTTGTACAGGGATGGTGAGGCAATGTACGTGCTTGTAAGTAGCTGTAAGCGGATAATGCGTTTAAGCTTATGACTGTTCAGAGAATGAACACCCGTGCATGACTGTTCAGATATTTTGAAACGCTGTGCGCCATTACGTGTGGTACAGCCTCATGAAAAAGCCCAAACTACAGCCCAGAGTGTAAACCCATTCAATAGACATTGCGTGCAGCGCGCTTCACGAAAAGTAGCTTGCGTTAACACTTTGTTAATTGGGTTAGATCACGATCAACAAATAGGTGGAACGCATTTACATTTACTGCAGCATTTTGCTCACACACCTTTTGAGTGGCTAAACCTCGGAAAATTCATCCAAAAGCTTTCAGTCAAAGATTTTTTAGAAAGCACGAACCGAAACCGTTAACGCTATCAGAATCTGGTGTTTAGCCCTACAGCATTCGGACCTGATATTGTAGAGCTCTGATAGAAAGTACTCAGCCTGATAACCTTCTGATTCCCATCAACACCCAGCATGCAAATCCAGCTGAACACTCCAGTATAGGTACAAATCCAGCTCAGGAACCCAGCGCCCAGCTCAACACCTCAGGAAAACAATGCCAGTTGAGCAACTCAGCGTCAAGCCCAGCCCAGCACCAGTGTCAGGTCCAGCTCAGCACCAGTGCCAAGCGCATCTGAGCACCAGTGCCCAGCCCAGCTCAGCACCAGTGCCCAGCCAGCTCAGCACCAGCGGGCAGCCGCGGCTCAGCGGCCGCCGACCGGGCGCGACGCACGAGCGCGCACTGACCCCCTGATAGCAGACGTTGTACTCGTTGCAGACAGTGCGGTCGGGCTTGCGGATGGAGGGCGGACAGTGTGGCGAGCGGCCGTTACAGCGGCTGGTGGCGCGGCAGCCGTTGTCGTTGCGGCACTGCTGCCCGTACCCGAGCTCGCAGGTGGAGTTGCAGCACGGGCCCTGCCGGTCACGGGGTCGAGCGTGAGCGGAGTGCGGACTAGGACACGGACTGATGCCGTGGAGCACGGGCCCTGCCGGTCACGGGGCCGGGTTTAGTCAGAGGGGTGCGGACTAGGCAGTGGAGCACGGGCCCTGCCGGTCACGGGGCCGGGCGTCAGCGGGGTGCAGACTAGGACACGGGCTGATCCCGTACAGACTGGGCCCGGCGGTACAGTATATGCAGAGCATGTGCTGAGTCAACGCTCTGGACAACATGACGGAGAGTAAGGTGTGTTGTATCTAGTGTCTGCGTGAAGTGGAGATTCGGCATTGCATGAAGAAAACGCGCCTGATTGGAAAGAATTGTAACATTTAAACGACATGAGCGGCTCTCACTTAGCGCAATTTAAAGCACCGCATTACCCAACACCAGCACAAGCGAAACGACCAGCTGTAGCTGAATCGCTCGGCTCGGCTACGCTGTCTACGACAGGATGGTCTCACCGCACGCGGGGCATTCACCCGACCTCGGCCCCTCGCTTGATAGCGCTTCCGGTGCCCCTGACCTAATCGCTGAGCAGGCCTTCGAGCCCTATCTGGGCAGCTTAAGCAGACGTTTCAGGTACCGTCACTACCTCGTTAGATGCTTTCAGCTTTACAGTTTTACGAGTCAAGTAGAGTCAGCCCGATGTAAGCACCCAGCAATCCAGTTCGCAGATCATGGGAGCGGCTATTGATGCCTGCTCTCCTTACCGCAGAAGCAAACACGCGAGAAAACAGGCCTAAGACGGCTGCAATCAAGTTATATGTTATGCATGACTGAACCGCCATCCGCTATCAGCGTGCTCTGACCTGGCTGGGGCTGCATTGCGCACCGGGCCGCAGCCGGCACGGCGGCTGGCCCGGGGGCGGCGCGGCGCGCATCGGGTTACAGCAGGCCTCGATGCAGTCCTCCTCCCAGCCGCAGTCGCACTCCTCGCCATCCTCCACCACGCCGTTTCCGCAGATGGCTGCCTGCGGCTCTGGGGGCGGCGTCGGCGGCTCAGTGCGGTGCCGTCAGCTGATGAACGGGTCATGCCAGGGTCACTCGACACTCGGCGCGGGCAGAAAACTGCCCGTTCTTCCATTCTCAATCTGGCGCAATGAGCGCAAAACGATGCAGCGTCGCCACACATCTCCAGTTTTGGCTTCGTTGCCATTATGTAACACTTCGAGACAGGAGCAGAATGAGAAAACTGAGTTATGCTGCAGTGGGCAGTTGAAGAGGTCAGACAGGCTCGGGTCGGACGACATTCATGAACTGGAACTGGATGGGATGGGCTGAGTGGGACCGGCTCAGGTTGCACCAGGTCGCGCGGGGCAGTGTCGGACCAGATCTGGTCGGATCGCATCGGGTTGAATCGGATCAAACTGGATCGACCTGGGTCGGGTCGGGTCGGGTCGGGTCAGGTCGGGTCGGGTCGGGTCGGGTCGTGTTGGGTTGGGTTGGGTTGGGTTGGGTTGGGTTGGGTTGAGTTGGGTTGGGTTGGGTCGGGTCGGGTCGGGTCGGGTCGGGTCGGGTCGGGTCGGGTCGGGTCGGGTCGGGTCGGGTCGGGTCGGGTTGGATTGGGTCGAATCAGGTAGTGTCGGGTCGGGTTGCATCGGGCTGGGTCGGGTCAAGTCAGGTCAGGTCAGATCAGATCGGGTCGGGTCGGGTCGGGTCGGGTTGGGTCAGGCTTCAGGCATCGCCTTACCGACAAAGCAGCCTTTTTTGGAGCGCGCCTTCACGCGCAGCACAGGCTCAATGGACCGCAGGCTGCACGGCGAAAAACGGTCGTTGTTCCTCTTGTCGCCCGACGTGGCTCGCGCGAACATGATGTAGTTGCCGTTCTCTCCGCCAGGGGTACACTCCTTGTTCTTGTCGGGATCATGCTGCGCGGCAAGAATGGAGGGGCGTGTGATTTGACTGTCCATACCGATGTTAGCGATGTTCTATCGCATGCATAACTTACAGTTCCGCGTGGGTTCGACGCATTCGACTATGACTGATTGATTTTATCAAACAAGGTTACGCCGCCGTTTGAGACGTGGCGTGATCTCGGCATTACAGACGCCGTGAGTCACCATGACGCAATCACTGTTGGACGTTAATCACAAAGCACCAAACAGGGCCGATAACATGTGCAAAAACCTCTGCCAGAGGGAGTGCCCCCCCCCCCCTCCCCGCGCCGCACGTGCAAGGCTGCGCAGTCTCACCTGAGAGCCGAAGTTGTGTCCCACTTCATGGGCAAAGGTCACGTGGCTCACGGCTGGAGGCACCCGTTTGCCGTAATTTAGTATGCTGATGATGCCTGAGTTCAGACTCTTCTTGCTGCCTCGGTAATGCTGGCAATGGGCAAAACATAGTTACGCGTGCGTCCAAGCGATTGAAAAGTCACTGCAGGTATGTGCCGGCACAAATAGCATGTTGATAAGTGGTCGGGTTACTAATTGCTGCATCAGTGAATGAATGCTGCACGTTGTCGTTAGCGTTTGTTGCCGCACAATGTTTAGGCTGTGGTTGAATCACAAAGAAATACCGGACATTGTTCGCTTCTTGAAACAAACGCAAGACGACAGATACGGATACCTTGTGCATATCAAGCGCTGCCAAAGCGTGTTCAGGGACTCGACAACGCCGGACATTGTATAACGTGCTGCAAAAATAGGCGCCCCACAGTGACTGCAGAGAAAGACGGCGTTGATTGGCAGAGGCGCAGCCAAGGGGAGGTCAGGTCAGGTCAATACCTCGTCTGACCCCGAAGGACATTTTACTTTGGAAAAATATTCAGCTCTAACGGGTTCAGTGACAGAGTTCATGAGCACTTGGGATACTGATCTCGAGTTTGACCTTGTTTGACCTGATTTGACCTGAAGATCACGCCCTGAAGGCACAAACATTTCACACAAATTAACTCACACACAGGTGTATCCGCCCTGCTGCATTTGGTGTATCTAGCCCTCTTAGTTTGTTTATACCTCAGGCAGCTATGCGGACCAGACGCCTCCCTCATTCAAACGCATCGTATTCAACCAGCTACCCAGGCGCTTGGCAAATAAAAACAAAAAGATGAGTGAATAGGAGGTTTAGTAAAGGCACTGTCACTCTTCACCTAAAAATGCATGAGTGGTATATTTAATAGAATTACGTTTGTTGTGATCCATTCACTTCCCGAACGAGCACCGATTTGTGGAGCCTAGCCTCCGTCTGGCACAGGACCCGTCACCAGGTGTAGAGTAATCGAAGAAAGTTTATAAGTCTATATGGTGCGTACTCGGGCTTGGCCGGGTGACTTACCCCATTTTTTTCGCAGACTCCTCCCGCCTGGTTCAGGTCCCCAGTCCAAGCCAGACCTAACGTGCCACCCTCGAAGTCGCGGTACGTAAACATGTAAGCTAGACAAAACGAGTCGTAGTTTTCCTCTGAAAATGAAAAACATGTCCAGGTTACTTGTGCCATTTGCTTTGTCTGAAACAGACCAAACACCATTTGTCGGTACAGTAAGGCAGCTGGATCAATAATACATATGTTCCTAGACCCACACGCATTGACATATTTCTGTCTTCCGAAATACAGTAATGTAGGGGCCGCATCCCCGCGCATGACTTCAATGTACGTTACGTATTCATCATGTACCTGGTGGAGTCGCAAGTGGCGTAATTCACTACGTACTAAGACACGTGCGGCTCAAGGACGGCAATAATATCGGTGCAATTGCAATGCTAATAATGGCTTAAAACACAAAAAGAAACACTGCTGCTGGACTGCGCAGCGCTTAAGCTGATACCCGCCATCAGCGTGACTGATTCGTCGGACCAGAACACCGCTTGCAACAGCTGCAACCTTTCAGTACATCCCTTCAGGGTCATCGCAAACACGCCACCGTGCCCCGCGCCCCCAGAAGTCCAGCTGCCGCCAGGTCCGCTGACGCTGACGCCTCACCTGAGAACAGCTCCAGGTACTTCTCCACGCCGTAGTTGCCGGGGAACCGGTAGCCGACGTCGTTGACAGCTGTGGGCTTGTGCACTCGGATCCGCTTTATCATGAACCCGATGTTGTCCTGTATGCCATCCTGGTCGAAGTCTGTGGGCACAGGGCAGACATGTGAATAAGCGCTAAACAGCCCGCATCGGTTTAGCCTGTCTACGTTCCGGATACAGCTACGATACATTTGGTGACCAAATGCAAACGAGCGGCAAGCGATCGTACGATGCTATCATGTAGCTTCCAATTGCTGGTTTGCATGTGCAGGACTGGCGCCGTTCCAACGCCCAATGTCAAGGTCGCGCCCCAGGAAAAACGCCGAACCACTTAATGGTTTACAAAAGCCGACCGTTGTTAATGCATGGTAGCTGGTTACACTAAAAAGGCATTTCGGCTTGTTCCTCGGAGTACGGTGACGTTTAATCAGACAACACTTAGCCCTCAATAATGATTAAAGTTTATCCAGGCGCGTTAGATCATCGCGGACTGGGATGGAGTTCAAAACCCTCTCAACGTCAACTATTCCTGTGGCCGCCATAGCGTGAATGTTAAACTTCCACAAAGCAGGGGCAATGACACCCGTACAATCCCTAATTCTGCAGTCTGTGCCCTATTTTGGCTGGTACACGGACCAGGGTTGTCTGTAAACCTTTTGGGTGCAGCGTATTTTGTACTCATCGAGGGTGACGTTGGAATTCTTTTCGACAGTTCAAAAAAAATTACAATTTCCTTTTTGCCCCTGTTATTACCAACACATTTTAACACGCCTAGAATAACACCATTTTGACCGGTGAGCTATCTAACGCCCCCAAACCTCATCGCGGAACTAAAGGACGCGCTCTGTGGCCCCGCTGTCGCGGGCGCGCCCTGTGGCCCCGCTGTCGCGAGCGCGCCCTGTGGCCCCGCTGTCGCGAGTGCGCCCCGTGGCCCCAATGTGGCGAGCGCGTTCCTGCTGAACACCGTCAGCGAGCCTTACCGACTGTCTTGTAAATCTCGTTAGCCTGCTGCACGTGGCGAATCATGGCGTCGATGCAGGCCTCTTCACTGCCGAACTGCTCGTAGAACAGGTGGTCGGCCTGCAGGTACATGGTGCACGTCGTCTTCTTGTTGTTGATTACGGCGCGCCGCCGTCGCGAGCCACTCCTCGTCCCGTTTGCGGTGTTCCCCGCGGTCACGGGTGCCGCCAAGTTCTCGTACAGCTGCGCGTGTCCCAGCCACTCGTCAACGTCGCCGTCCGGTGACGTCCGAGTGACGTCACCGGCGGTCCTGTTGCGCTCGGCGAGGCGCTGCGACGCGCAGCCGCCGGCTGGCTGGCGCGGGTGGGTAACGTCAGAGAGGCGGTAGATGAGCGAGTGGAAGTCCTGCGCTTGCTGGAAGTATCGGCTTGAGGGTTCGATGTAAAAGTGCTCGGAGGCGGTCACCACGCTGCCGTCGAACAGGCCGTCGGAGCCGATGACGCCCTGCACCACGGCGTCCTCGTCGTCTGGAACGGACAGACTACGTCAGGCGGCGGCCGCGGAAAACGCCGCGGTGCTGCGCTGGTGCCAAATGAGCCATGTCTGCCCGCCATCCCGGGCCTGACCCCAGGACCGCTCCTGGGGCCGAAGAAGCCGTCGTTCTTGGAGTCTCTTGAAGCTGCAGTGCACTAGTGGAGTGGTTTGCTTGACCTCAGAATGGACAGAGCGGAGAGAAAGAGCATGTCGGCGCGCAAGGAATGTCCATTGTTTAACATGCATGCAGAATGGACGTCATGACCTACTGCTTGACGGCTACCAAATAGAAACGACGTCCAACAACTAGTCTGCTGGGACTTGTGAGTCAGGCTTACCCCAACACCCTCACTTCGGGTACCATCCACGCGACGGCATGGGGGAAGCTGGTGTCATTGCTGCTACCGCACGCATAAAAATCCTTCTCTTCAAACAGCAGGCGTGATGCGAAGCATAGAATCATAGCATTCATTCGAATGCCATCAAACTGGCACGTCCATGCAGCCGGACTACACAAAAACGCGTCACTAATATGTATCACATGTTAAAACGGTCCGGCTGACCGCACGCAAGGTGTTCCGTAGTTCAATGCCCGAAACAGCGTGGCCACAATCGGGGTATTCGTGCGCCAGTTCCTCGCAGCATTCCGACGAGAATCCGTTCTGCTTGCTCGGTTTTGGTGTCAGTCTTTGGCGGGGAAATCATCATTCTGCGACGCCAGCCGTGGCTGAGGCACGCACGAAGGTCAACGTCAGTGATAGCAACCGCTCAGAGCGCCTTTTTGCAGGCGTGGTATGTCTCCTCGGGCACGCTATCAAGAAAGCTACCGGTCTCTGCCATGATGTAGAGAATGTTATTACGGCCTCGAGATAATGATCAGTTGGTGCCGACCAGAACGTGCCATCTGGCGGTGATTTGGTTCCGTTTTTCCCGGCCCCCTGACGCGCCCACTTGGGGTGATTATCGCCTGGCGTCGTATCAGACACGTGACACCGGGTCAGGCGGGGTCAGAAGTCAGCCCGTGACCGACAAATGTGGGACGGACACGATCACCCGTCCCTAAGCCGAGGAGAAAGGAGGAACCACCCACCCCACGCGAGAGCCAGAGACGACTTTGCCCGACGCAAGAGGCAAAAGAAGACCCTGGGGAACACTTCTGATCCTTAGCACTGCCACCGGCGGACAGCGTAAGAGCAATACGAATTAGTTGGCGTCAGCCGGGTACCCATGGTCTGCTGCTCTGCCAGAAACGGACAGCTGAAGAGCCGGCCAGCTCTCTTCACGTCGCCTTGGTACGCCCCTGGTACCCTGCACCGACAGCGGCTGACAGAAGGAGAGCCGGCCGGTCCGACCGTGTCCCGGAAATGGGCGTCACGCTGTGACCTTGGCTCAGAGCCCCGGACCTGTTTCTAGCGGGCTGACTCCGGCGCCGCCCTTCGGTCAGGTCTCGGTCGGCGGGCTCCGGCCACCAACGGTGGGAACGGTCACTTGCCAGGAGTCGCCGCAGTCCAGAAGCGGTTGGCCCAGCGAGGCACGGGAGGTGAGCTCACCACACGGTCCTTCATCGATTGGAAAGGCTCTTGTCGTTTCCGGCTATATCAGCTCACGGAGAACGAGCTTTATCGTTTTACGGATGTGTCTTCTTCCAAAAAGGACAGCCTCTGAATCGATTAAAGGGGTGTCCCATCTTTGGGACATATTTCAAAAGCATGCTTTGTGAATATGTACACTGTGAACATACCCGTCAGCGTCAGAACAAGACAAGGGTATCAATTTAGATTATTTTCTAGCCCAAAATTACGCTGTCAACGCTTTGTAACCTCATTGCACTTCTTCCCTGCAGCACGACCACCGTCGTTATAACAAACACCATGCGCACCTCTATTGGTGCAGATAAAAGAACGTTTGTGATTGGTCCAATGTGCAAGGGCCTGGTATAAAGGAGCACATTGGTCAAAGTTTGAACCAGTGAGTCACGGGAATCATGTGATACTACCATTCCCAAAATCAAGGTGCGCCTCGAAAAAAACACGGTAAGCCCCAAAGAGGAGAAACCAGTCATAGTAAGACGTTTGGTTAAATTCACGGGATAATAACATTATGTTCACGTATATTTTTGTCTAAACAGTGTTTCAAGCTTTCGTAGCACGTATTACGCAAACCTTCTGACACATTAGTATGTTGCAAACATTACAGGAGACACACTTTGAAAAAGCAAGGGAAACAAACTGGATTACTTTCATCGGGGCGAGCAGGGATTCAAATGAGATTTCTCCCCGAGGGTCGGCTGCTTTACATAGAAATTCAGGGCTATTCAGGTGGATTTCGAGAAAATTGCCTGTCTGAACAAATAATACGCGTCTGGTGTTACAATAAGTCAAAATTACAAAAAGGTGGGATACTCCCTTTAATCAGCACAACAGAATTTTAAGTCCACCTCTCTCTAAAAAAACGCGTTCAAACCCGACGTTGCTTAAAAACAAACAGTGAGCTTCATCTGCCCCGTCAAAGGTATGGAAAGTTTCACCCATAGCTCAGATGCAGTGCACTTCGTTCATGAGCGGCAGATGCAGCGAGCTCTGCAAACATCGGCATAAGTCTGGGGATGTGACCTGTGACCCTCAGGTTCGGTCAGCTACACTGAGGCACGCGTCCGCAGGCGGTGGCGGTGGGCGGGCCGACTGCGGCTGGGAGCGGCGCCAGTCGAGGCCACAGTGCCGGCGGCCGCTCGGTCGGCTGGCGCTCACGAGCGGGGCTCGGGGCGCGCTGCGATCTGGGTTTGTGGGCGGCCCGGGTTGGCGGCTGCGCCTCGGGCGGTCGGCGCGGCGTCCGGCCGTGAGAGGCGCGCAGCGGGCCGCGACGGACCAGCGCGCGCGCCGGAACCTACCCTCCAGCGAGCCGGTGTAGACGGAGCTGGTGTCGAAGGCAACCGGCCCCGAGCTGCTCTCGAACACGACGTCCGGCGCGAAGACGGCCCGGTCCGGCCGGAGGCGGAGACGGAACTCCCTGCGGGTCACAGGTCACGAGGTCAGACGAGGGTCAGGACTCTGCTCACGGAGCCGCGGCCCCGACAGCCGGCATGAGGAAGTGGTGTGTGTGTGAGTGTGAATGTGCATGCACAAACCCTTTTGCCCCGTCAAAGGTGTGAAAGACCTTTGACGGCCGAAGGTTTTGAAGACCTTTGACAAAGATCTATGAAAACCTGTGTGCTGTGAAAGTCGCATGGAAAGCATAAGAGCGCCTTGCGTGAGAGATGGACTGCTTCAGAGAAGATTTGAGCCATGAGCACATATTCATTGGCTTATGATGGGGAAGAAATGTGTTAATGAATTACATCCATCCCGTATAGAGCTGCTTGCTCCTTATGCATTCGGCACAAAGATTACCCTTGCCGTTGAATCACAGACACCGAAGTCGTTTTGGTTATCCAGAAAGCCGACGGAAACGTGTCATATGCAATAATTGGAGCACTTCCACATGAAAAATTGCTTTCGCAAAATGCTGCAAAATTCCCCGATACTTTGAAAAAGTGCCTGTTCGGCTACTATATCGAATCTTAACTCCAACTCAGCCGATCCGTGGTATTGATGTCCGGCCTGGGGCCTGCGCTAACGGTAAAACTTCAAAGAAGAGACTGTAATTGACTTCAGGGAATTCACGCCATCTGTTGACGCATGGGACGGACAGGGCCAGACAGTGGGCCACATATGCTTCGGAGCGGTAACGATCCCGCCCGAAGAATTACAGCATTCCTCAACGGAGCGTCCGACCTCATTTGCCAGCGGAAGCGGACTACGCAAACGAGCCGACGTCCGCGGACGAGCCCAGCTGTGCATTCAAGGTGATCGCACATGCACACACACGCGGCTTCATTCAAGCACACCGCAGCACGAGCGTGCACCCATGCGGCCTGGGGTGTGACGGTGGGCGAGTCGAATGGGTCGACAGTCGGCACGCTACGCGCCGATCCGTCTCGGCCGACTCGGCGCCGGACTCGGCGTCCAGTGGCTGTCAAACTAGCGGTCGGTGGCTCGCAAATCGGCCGTGACACTAATTGGGCGTAGAACGCGGAGACGCGACTAACGCGGCACGCATATCGTGCGATCGCCGTTCCTCCGCCGGCGATTGCGCCGCGGAATGCGACGCGTAGGTAAGCGTGCTGTCTGATTCAGCGGGACGCGCGGTCGTGCGCCGCATTCGGAATGTCCCAGACGGCGCTGCGATGCCAGCTTGGCGGAAGTCGAGTCCAGCCAGCCGCGTTCCCAAGCGGGTCGTGTGCAACACCGGTCAACAATCCACCCTCCCCTCCCCCCCCCCCGCCGGCACACACACACACATCACCACCGCGGTCGGTCGGAGCGGTGATGTCTGTCGGTCGGCGCCGCATCGGAAGCGGTCGTCGACCGACCGCGTGGTCTCTTCGTGTGAAGGAATGCAGTCTCCGGGCCTGGAGGGTATGTTTCGTTGCAGAGCTCAAGTCTCCGTGGGGTTTTCGAGGTGATGCGTTGGACGACGTGAGCTGTTGCTAGCCAGTGATACACTGGTGCTATTACAACCCAGTTTCTGTCCAATTCCAGCTGGAGAACAGCGCAAAAAAACGATGTGTTCAAAGCCGTCTTTTTCGAAAAGGCACCGTCTGTCTCCACGAGCGTTTATACGTCCCGGTTTCGGAGAACTCTGAGCACCCAACATCACGTCAGGCTGCTCCAACAAGACTAATGGTTCTTTCAACTTCCCTGACATTTTGGACGTTCTTTTTTAGAAACTGATCCACAAGACGTACCGTTACATCGCACAGAGGACGGTATGAAGGCGAGCCTGAAGTTCGGATTATCGTGCGGAATGTAGTATGACGGTAATGTGGTGGATCGTCACTCGCCATCAATTAAGGCTCATTACCGCGTGTGAATATGTCATAAGAGGGAGATTGCAATCTGAGATATTTAATTATCCAGTCAATCCTGCCGAGCCGTAGCGGAAGGATTGTCGATTGCCTGCCGACCGTGAAGCGGATTTTCATTCCGGCATTCGTAAGGCAGGCAAGCGGCCGACCTCCACTGAACTTGCCGCATGCCTGCCAGTAATATTAAATATATTTTCCAAACATTTTGTTAAAGGGCTTCGTCACTTGATTAATGGACACATTGTCTGGCAGGAAAAAGTAAACAAGTTGGCTTTTGTACTAGGATTTTTTGTGCTTTGTGCTTTGTGCACAGAAAAATATTGCGTTTTTCCAGATATGCCTTCATAACCTATATGCATGAGGCATCGGGATTCAACCATATTGGGGCTTACCTCTCATCATACTTCGCATCATTGTTTTGACTGTTGTTCACTTCAGATGGACAACAGCCAGCGTTGTCCATCTAAAATTAATGTTGTCACATAATCGTAATTTAGGATCGGGATCAGTGTTCAAGCATATAAATGCCATACATATACACTATTGCAGCTCTTTTACCTGCCGAGCCAACGACACCACAGCGGTGTGTTTTGAGTACTATGATACTGAGCACTCGGTGCCACTTGTCTACCATGTGGCCCATGTTAAAGGGGATATAATATCACTTTCAGCGTTTAAGGTGTTGTTAAATCAGACGAATGCGATTTTATCAGTAATATCATTTTCCTCGAAATACTTCTGCAAAGCTCGGAATATCGGTTGACAGTGGCCGCTCCTGCGGAAGAAATCTCATTTGACTCCCTGCTCACTGCTATGAAAGTAAGACATTACATATACCTCGCTTTCCCAAACGTGCCCGTTCCGTAATGTTTGCGACAAGCTACATGTCAACATGTTTGTGTAATGAATGCTATAAATCCCTGAAACATTCTGGACAAAAATGCATGCGATCATAAAGCTTTTATCTCGCGAATTCATTGGGATGCTGTAATATGGCTTAAATTTATCCCACATCTCTCCAATATGGCGTTAACCACATTGGCTCTTTTCAAGGCGGACTTTGACTTTGGAAATGGAAGTTTCACATGGTCCACAGTGACGCACTGGTTCAAACTTCAACCAATGCGCGTCTTCGCAACAGGCCCTTGTCGCACTTTGACCAATCACAAGCGCTCTCTTATTCGCACTATTAGAGATGCCACGGTGGTTGTCATAACAACGGCGATCGCGAGCGCGAGGAAGAAGCGTGGTGATGTTACAAAGCGCTGACAGCGTACTTTGGACTCGAAGATAATTAAAATTGATATCCCTACTACGTCTTGACGGTGCTGCAGTGGCAATACCCAGTGTCTTCATAAGACGTAACTGGTCCTGAGGTTCACTAGAGTATATTTTTGAAATATGCTTCCGATGTGGAACACTGCCTTTAAGACCAAAACATTGCAGAATTTCTGCAGCGCAAGGCGCGGAAGGTTGCCAAAAAGATGCCACTGCACTTCGGAGATCAATGAACTTTCTTCGCCTTCAAGACACACTTATTGTTTTGCCTGTTAAATATTTTAAAGTTGAAGACTTCCCCTCATTAAACAATGCCAAAAAATAAGCATTTTAAAATGGATGCGCCGTGAGAGATTTCAAGCCATGATATGTACGATCAAAATTAAAGCAGCTGTGTACGTGTGCCCAAGCATATGGCGTGTGCTGTATGCGGTTGTTATGCACCCAGTTGTTACAGCTGTATGCAGACCGCGGCCGTACAGCAACGTCATGCGCTAACTAGTTTCCATGCCGACACACATGCCACGTTATAACCGTGCAAGCTTGTAAATTATGCTTTGGGCTCCCAAGTCTTGATATTTCTGCGAAACCCCAACGCACTGTTCATAATTTCACCACCTCCACAAATCGTATTGACGCGCGATTGGTGGTTTGTGGTTTGAGAGCCACTGAACTCTCCCGAGTGGGCGCTGAACGAGCAGCGAGCCGCCCAATTTTGCTGGCCCGTCTCCGCCCGTTAGCCTTGTGGCCGCCAAGACACCTATAGTTTGGCTGTTTGGAGCGGGCAGGGCCGGTCTCTGTCCGCCGGCCTCACCGGCCATCAGACGATACAGTTGCGAAGCGCGACAGGCGCTCCCACGGACGTCTCCCTGATGTCGCCTCGGGCGGAACGACGTCCCGCTGATTTTTTGGGCGCGACGCTGGCTCGCCGCGCCATGTGGTGGAATGACACAGCCGGTGGGTGTACCTGGCCTTCATTCTCTTCGCCAAGGTCGCAGAACTGCGCTGAAAACGCCGTTTGGGATGCCGATACGACTGGCGGGGGAGACGCCGACGCCGACCCGACCGCCGACGCCGGTCGGCTCCGCCACCGCCGCGGCCGCGGAACCGACCACCGGCGCCGCAGCCGACGTTCAGCCGGCCACCGCTGACGTCATCGGCTGTGGTCAGCTGACTGCCATGGTCAGCGCCACCCGCAGCCGACCGCGCCAAGTCCGCCGCCGAGTGAAGCCTGCTGGGAAAGCCGACGGAAAACCGTTGGGCCGCGCGGAGAAATGAGCCAGCGCGGTGACCTGTTTCATATCCCGGCCGACACGCCGTCCTGACCCACTGCCGCGCGACACTGAATGGGGTGGCAGCGGCCGCCGCCGACGGACGGGGCCGGGCCGGCAGGTCGTGTATGGGGAGACGGGACGACCCGCCTCGGCCGCACCCGTGCCGTTTCGCAATCGGCCGCATCCACAAAACAAGACCTCGAACTTGTGATGCAACAAAGCGGGCAGCCACGCGTCCTCGCAGGGCTCTCAACGGTTCCGGCACGTGGCGTACATTGATCAGTGTCGCGCTGTGGGCTGAGACATGCACTGGCGCGCAATCACTGCCCGGTTTGCCGCCGCGGTAACGGACCAACGACCGCCAGCTGTTGAACGCGACGTGGGCGGGTCTGAGTCACAGGCACTGCTGGCCGGCCGGCCGGTGGCGCGGCCCGTGCCGGTACAGCGCGAAGCCGCAGCGCAGCTGTGACCTTGCCTGACCTCCGGTGGCGGCCCGCGGGTTCCCGTGTGACCCGTGTCGCCGCGCTGCCGCCAGCTGGCGTCGAATCGGG